GGGGGTGAGGGGGAAGGGTGGTGGTGTGTGTGCAGGGAATGAAGCCAAATATGCATTTGATCTGACGTATGGAAGTGTCCACTGATTTCAGAGGAAAAGAATTAGTTGTGTTATTCAACATTCCTTCCTTACTTGACCAGTACTTATTCCCTAGACACTTGCTAGAATATAAACAATTAGTCCACAGAATTTCAGAAGATGCCAGATGTCCTTCAGAGTGTACAAACCTGTTTTGCAGGCTGTTGCACATATAAATTGTGTAAACTCAAACACCACATTTTTAACAGGGCTAGTAGTTTGTTTTTCCACTTAGGAACAGCTGGTACTCAAAACAAAACCTAAGTGGAATCACGATAATTATGCTGGCTGAATATCTGCTGCAATATAAATGGTCACATTCTCTTGAGGTTTTGAAGCATTATAAAACCTTTTCTTGTTTAAATATCTTTTGCATCAAAATGTTCAGAATAAATATACTAGCTCTTGATTTAAAAAATACTAAAAGCTTTTCTTATTGAGAACCACCCATGCAAATCCACCATTACATCATGACTGACTTAAATTATCAAAGCACTGCTTAGAAAATAAGAGGCTGGACCACCTCAGGGTTAATAAACATGTGGGGACTGGGGTGGAGAGAAACCGGCTCCCCCACAGTGGCAGTTCTACTTGTTCTTGTGCTGCCTTCCAGCTCTTGTCAGACCCTTTGCTGAGTCAGCTTCTCTCATTAAATTTAGCAACAGAACAATCCACTTTCTTTCTCCTCCTGGGTAACTTAGATGAATCAACTCTTAGGAGGTGTTTGACAAATGCCGGAGCTGGTATGAAGTAAGAATGGGGAACAGGACTTCTTTAGCGAGAGCGAGCTGTTCACATCTTAAAGGATCTCGAGGTAGATTCACCGCTGGTTGGCAGCCTGTGGGAAGTCAATGCTACAGCAGTGAAATGGAGGCCCCCATTCATATGATATTAGGAATAGTATTCTGTACTTCAGTAGTAACTTTCATCCAAGGTTCTCACAAGCACTCCACACCCTAGCAGATATACCTACAAAATACCAATGTTTTAGTTATGTGAACTGAAGCAGAAAAGAAAGACACATTTCCCTAGCAGGCTTCAAACAGGGTAAGAGCTTCAAGCAGTTAAAAGCTCACCACCAACTGGTAAGCTTATTAAACTCCATGAAATAGCAGCAGTCTAAGGAGGAAGGAGAGTGGTTTTAGGGTGCTGGATTATGAGCTGTTTGACTCAGTTTACCCTGAGATCAGATAAGTTCCTGAGCTGCTGAAAAATGGGAAAGAAAGTATTTGGATGAGATTGGGAGGAGCAGGAAAGGAATAATAATCTGGTGTGGCAGCAAGCTGAAATTCAACTGACGCACTGTGAGCCATGCCCTGAAATTTAAAGGTATTCAAATATGTATATTAGCTACGCACTTAAATGAGTAGCCTGATATTTAGAATTGCTTTGAAGTCAGAATGAGCCTTCAAAAAACAAAGCCAAAATAACAAGTTTTTTTACCTAGGAGGAAGAAAAGAGTTACAAGAAAAGACAGAGTTAAAAGAAAAATACAGGAAACTGCTCAGCTGTGAAAGTGTTGTTCTAGAAGCATAGGTCTTTATCTGAGGCTTATGTGAAGGAACAATCTCAAAAGACATTCCAGAAATTAAGTTTAGCATTACTTAGAAGAAGCAGCTAGAGTTAAATGAGTCCAGAAAGCTTTTTCAGAAAACATGGACTAAGGCTGTACTTAAGTACAAGCAATGTACCTCTCCTGAAGGGAGGCTGTGTAAGAGTTTTTCTTAATTCCCTTTCATAATATTAATGAGGCCTGACACAGAATTTAAAATACTGAACTAGTTTAAGTTTGATTAGGTGTCAGGAGATTATAAATTAATGTTCTTAAACTCTCGCAAATTCTTTTTCCAGGTAATCTGTGGAGAGCTAGTGTGTGTCTAGCTGAGAACCAGAGAACAAAAAACACACTATGTTTTGGCCATCATGGCATTTTCAAGAGCCAAGTCTTTCCTAAACTTTGCTGCTGTTCCTGCATGCATAAGTGAATTATAAAGAGGCTTTTATATTTGCACAAGACCATGTATAATTCAAACTAAGATATCTTGATCCGGAAACATCTTTTCACCGATTTGTTTTTTCTAACCCTGCTATTTAACAAATGCTGTCTCTGACCTATTTTTCTCCCTCTGCTGGACACTCACATAATTACTGTATTTGTGTCGTCTTACATTCCTGTAGTTTAAGATATTTGATTCAAAAAGATTAAAATAAAAGTCTTCTTTGGTTTTCCAAATGTAGCACCACAACATAAGCCCTCTTCCACAGTCTGGTTGTGGAATTACTCTAAGCTCACAAAGGGGCACCATCAAAGGAATTAGTAATTTAACTCTTACATGTCTCATTGTGGGTTAGTGATGAGTAGTTCTGAGCCAGATTTTTCTTCTTGAGGTCTCCAATCTAGAGTTAAAGCCTTTCCTTTGGAGCAGTTAAAGCATGTAGCATAGGTTTCAAAAAAAGACATAAAATTAATTGTTTTTACTGTAGATAGCAGAAGAAATATATGGATCCATACATCAAAATACCAGTTTATATTTCTCTTTGTCTATCTCTTTACCTCTCAAATACTTCATATGTTCAACTTGTTGTTTTCCAAGGCAATCATCTATCTCTCACTTCTGTATATATACACAACCTTTCTTTCTCTTGCTTGTATATCTCTAGAAAGACAGACTGAAATGTCTTCTTGTTCACAAGTGACCTTTTCACCCTTTTTCCAGGTGACTTTAATTGGAGGCTCAGAGTTCTCAGCTGTGTGATATGTTGCATAGTTAGCCTGTTGGTCAGATTTGGAAAATCTGTAAGTTGGGTGCTGCTGAGTTTTTTGTTCAAGGTGCCTCTCTCTGAATGCATATTTGTTGCAGTTTACTCCTTACACGGAATTTCTTCTGTGTTTTTGATACTATGAGCCTCTAGACTGATAAATAGGAGGGGGAGAGTGGTTTAAGTAAGTAGTTTTGCTGTCAAAACTATTTGTTATATTTGGGAGTTTTTGCTATCAAAGCTCGAAATAAACAAAGATCGGGGTTAGGTGTGTGCATTGTGAGGAATCTAGGCATAGTTTATAGACCTTATGACAGTTTAAAATGTAAATAGCAAAAGGATTGCTTAATGTGGAAGGAATGTGCTGAGCAAAGAACGCACATCCAAGGAAGGGAAGAATGAGATCACTTTAATGATGTGTACAGTGACTCCATTAGTCTTGGAAAGGTTAGAGACTGGGGGGAATCTATTTAGAAGAAAGGCAGAGACTGTGTGATTTTAGAGATCTGAAAGCCAGGTGTAGGGTTGGTGGGAGGAGGCATCATGTCAGTTAAGTTACTGAAGCAGCTGAAAAGAAATCCTGTTTAGTACAATCTAGACCTGTTCAACTCGTCTTATGTTTTTATCTTGGTTAGCAACATTTTCATTGGAAAATTAACCTTCTGCTTTGTTAGAGTAAATTGTTTTCACCTATAAATCTGTTGGATGTGGAGAGTAAATATTACAAGTCTAAGTAGATTCTCTGGAAGTAATAAATGGAAACAGAGGATATTTCAGCTCCCTGAGACAAATCTGAGGCTCCCAGGGGCTGGGATGCAGAGTTGATTGAGCAACAATGATAACTTTTAAGTGCTGGATCCTCAGGAGATGTTCTTCCACTGGCTGTAAGCTAGTATTGTTCTAATAGGAGACAAGTACCAGAGCGAATTTGCAATTCCAGATACCATCAAATTGTTGGTCTTGTAGCTTGATATAGAGGTAAAAAAAGTGCAGAAAAGGTGGCTAGAATTTTAAGTGGGAGTCTAATACAGATGCAGAAGGCGAGTTCCAGCTATCAAACAGAATTCAGCTGTATCTCATATAATTTTTCTAGATTGCAATAAAGAATGTTTTTGTAAGACAATGAAAATGTCAAACTTAGCACTGAAAATATCAATGCAGAGTATGTAACATGCTGTTTATTCACACCCATTCTTACTGCAGTGACTCCCTGACATGGAGAAGCTCAGAGCTGCCACATCCACTGTTGGGTTCTATAACATCTCTAGGCCAGATCTCCTGCCTTATACATGTGGTAAGAGTTTTATAACACTTAAGTTTCCTATGCAAACTTTTGCATGCTGGCTGGCTGTCTCCAGGGAGGTGGGAATGGAAGAGTAGTTCCATGTGGGATTTTCATGTGCTTTCTTTTACCCTTCTTAATTTTCCAGAATTCCAGTTGAGGGAGCGTTTTGTCCATTAGAGATCCCTAAAGATTTTAATTTTTGGTAATGATTAAACCAAAATGACATTATTGTTATGAAGAAAGAATAACAGTGTCATGGGATTTTTAAAGCTGTTCTTCGATAGCTAGTTAACATGTTAACATTGTTGCAGAAAATAATTACTTCATTATGGAATGGTGAGAATGAAATAGTGAGCTTGTTTCTAAATAGGACTAATTACTCCAAAATTGTTCTGTGCCAGTACTTTTATTCCAGAGAAGGCAATTTGCTTGGGGAATTATTCTGGAATAGGAATGGCTAAATAATTACAATTTTCCTCCTGTCTTGAGAGAGAGCACATGTTGGCGCTGTGATTCTGTACATGGGAATTTGAAATGAAGCAATTGTGTGTTACCTAAACTCATCCACAAACACTGAATGCCTAGGGAATTTGGTTAAAATTAGCAGAAGAAAAATTCTTGTTAGACTTTAGTGTATGCCAAGGACTTCACATCATTCTTAGATGTTCATGCACATTTATTTTTGCCGTAACTGTTACTCCTGTTGGCATTATACCACTGATTAGTTTTAGTTTGTTTTGTCCATCTGCAGTGTCACTAAAATAGTAGTATGTGGGAGATTATTTTTACAACACATAATGTAAGTGCTTACATTAAGAAATGAAGAAAAAAAATAAGTTTACATTCTGTAAAAACTATTGCACCAACATAAAAATGTCACTGGCATTCTAACAAGTAGTAGCTTAATCCAAACTTGCTCACACAATTACTGTTTCATGCGTTGTCCTTAGTAGTTACATAACTATGTTGGCACATGTGGAACATCAAACAAATGAAGAGGTATCTTCTTTCCCCAAAGGGTTTATAGTCCATTAACACTGCTTTTCTCTGCCATGCACTTAGTTTTTTCCATAACTTTGTTCCTAGCTAAGCAAACTTTGAATGTACTAAGGGATACAGGAGTTCTCTGAATTTTAGTTGACAATGTTTACACTATTTTTATTGTAATTGCTATTTTTAAGGAATGTTTTTCTCTTCAGTTGTTTTCTTCTTTAATCTTTTTTGGAAATACTAAATGTAGCAACAGCAAGATCCCTCTTTTCAAAGCAGTGATCTAATTAAAATGTGCTGAACCAAACAGGCAAAATCTACATTTTTCTTGATTTTGCACTGTGCTCAAATGACATTAAACAATATTGTGTCTAAAAAGAGTATTGTTCTGTGCAGCTTGTAAAAGTTAATGAACAAGATGAATCCTTTAATAACCCCTTCCTTTTGTTATTAGCAGTGTGTACGCCATTCCTAGAACAGCTTATCTTCTCCCAGCTGTACAGTTAAAGCATACACTTAACAAAAGATGGATTTCTGAAAATAGTCGCTTCAGAAAGTTTTAACACTTTTTTAGGAGATAACTTTCTGTAAGACTGCTGTTCCTTGAAATGCAGTAACTTTTGGGAAGAAAAGGTGGTGGGTGTTTTTGATCTCACAGATTTCTAGGATTATTGTGATGAGGTGATTTATAAGGGACTTTTTTTCTCTGGATTTTTTCTGTAAGTAGCTTTAGAGAATTGGAGAGGACTCAGACCAAGCCTATACTATAAGACTTGATGGTGTAGGTCAGATGGGAAAAAAAATTACACGTGCTACCCAGGAGAGCTATGCCAGCATAAAATGACCAATGTAGAAGCAACTATACAGCCAGAAGAATTCCTTTGTCAGCCTAGCTAATGTTGTTTGTGAAGGGAATGTAATAGTCCTAGCAGAAAACTCTCTTTTTCTTGGGAAGTGCTATGCAATTATGCCAACAGAATTTCTGAAGTACAGTCAGACAAAAAAGCTGGCCCAAGCGTGAACAGAGAAACCCTACAGCAGTGTGAGAACTAAGCTTTGTTGTTGAAGTTATGTGTGGTACATAGACCTTAAGCTACTGTTCTGAGAGATGAATTTCAATCTTTATGTTTAATTATTGACATAATAGTATTACTTTCTTTGGTTTTCTGTTCAGAGTTTTCATTTTATCATTTCAGTGTTGAAACTCATAATAGCTTTTTTCAAATTACATAGTCAAAGATAAAATTCTCCTTCGCTTTTTCATGTGACTAATTTCTGTCACATAAGTAATACCAATTTATCACATGTTAAAAATTGGCACTGACAAGGATTTCTGAAAGTCTTAGGCTTCTCCAGATGTTTAGGGAAACCAGAAGTCAAATTTGGGTTCATGGCAGGAAATGCTCTGGCTGAATGCTCAGTGCTGGGTATGCCAAAGCAACTGTAACTCTTGGTCTTATGTGATAGGAGGTTGTTAATCGTGTGTGTGTGTACAGCTTCAAAATACTGCCTCCTGGTATGTGCTCTGCTGGTACCTACATGTGCTCCCTTTTTCAGTAAAAATTTGATTACTTGAAATCCTGTTCAGTAGTTTGATATCCTAGTAGAAATGTCAGTATGATAAAATCATTATTCTAAACAACAAATAGATGTGTTAGTGCTTCCAGATGTAGATTTGAAGTTCAGACAGGAGTTGGCAGTGGTTGAGAATCACCTTATGAGAGCATTCTGGTCTTTATAAATTGTCCCTGGGTGTCACTCTTGAGTCAAACTGAAACATTTTAGAAACAAATATGAGAATTGTTTTTCCTTTTCTTTTTTCTGTTTTTTCTGCAGTTTACACTTTTCTTCTTAAATTTATTTCCCATTACTCTCCATAATGATTCTATGATCTCAGCGCCATCAGGCCAGCTTAACTTGTCTGAATTATATTACTCTTACAGGATATCTTGGGGAGTTTTTGAGCTTAAGTTACAGTAATGTAACTGCAGAAATACTTTCCTGGCAACACTTTGTGGATTTACAGTTAAATGACTGATTATTATATTTAATAAAACCTTTCTTATTTTGTACAACTCTACTGATTTCTGTCATCCTTTTGGAGCAAAATCAAGTGACAAGGAGAAAGCATTTATTAGCAGCAACATGTAACTCTATGTGGAAAGCCAGTCCAAGCCCTGTAAATCCCATAACTGAAAAAAAAGGCTGAAGTGTAACTTCACTGGTAAACAAGCCATCTATTTATTATTCCCTAAAGGGAAATATCACTGTAGGAGAACTATCAGTATCTGGTCATCTCAGACTTTTTTTTTTGTGTGTGTGTGTACAGTCTACATATAACAAAATAGCGTGCTACTTAGAGGATTTAACGTGTATTATCCAAGGCAGTGGATAAATTATTAACATAACATAACTACAGTTTCTAAGTAACAATATCTTTATCTTAATGTCACTTAACGACTTTATTTTTAATGGTTCTCATTTTTGTTTCATTGGTTGGTTGCATCCAATGCTCTACTTTATAAACAGCTTCTGAACTCGGGTATTACATCTCTCATTAAAGCCAGTTGGTATAATACATTTCTCCCAATGAAATGCTGAAAGGTTTGGGGTTTTTTTTTAGTATTAACTTCCTCCTATGAAAATTACTCAAAAATGAAGGTTGCACAAGAATCCTGTTAAGATAGAAAATGTCTTCCTTACTCCTCAACTCATCATTTGCCCAAATCTGTTTTATTGCAAGTGCCATCACAAATCTACATAATAATTATAAAATATATTTTCTGTGCACTGCACCAAATAATCCTTTGTTGAATGGGTTCGCTTTTTCTGGCACAGTTTGAGATTTGTTTGTAAGAGTGAACACCACAGTGTTTTAGTGATTTGAGAAACAGTTATGTTGGATTAATTTTTGCTTTGAGAATAAATATTTGCAGTATGCTTTTTAGAGGCATGGGCAGACAAGAAATGATCCCCCAAAATGTCATTTCAAAACTGCTCTCTCTAGATACTTCTCTTCAGAAGTTCTGGGGAATTTCATGTGGTCAGTGAAAACAGCAGGTAAACCACAGGACATAGATTTTGAAATAATGTGTCTTTTAGATGTTTAGCAAGGTCTGTCACTGGGAATTATTTCTTATCAAGATCTTCTGATTACATGCTTGCTTTCAGATGCTTGAGAAGTCAGACTTTTGAATGCTGAGATGTGCAGAAAACATAGGAAACCAGCCATGACAACTGTAATTCTTCATAGTTTTTCTAACATTTGTCGCCGCTGTTTTGTGATTACATACATCAATAAAACTGTATATATCTAAGGAGAAAAGACTGTGACTTTTATGGTGGTTTATATGAATGACACATTAGAGACCCTTTACTATCATGGTTCCCCAGTTTCCTATGTGTGAAAAATGTATTGCTTAATAATCAAGGATTTGTGTTTTGGAGCATATCTATCAAAATAATTCATTTATCTCTAAAGGCTGTAAGGCTTGGGAAATAATAGTCCAACTCTAGGAGGGAAACTGTTACTACAAGAGACAGAAGTATTCTCCAGAGCTCTGGTGAAATGAACTGTATTTAGCTTTTTACTTGAGGGGAGGCTCCCTAGAGTTTGATTGAAAAGATGAGACTTCTTTGTATTTACTTCTGTGTCTTACGATAAATGTGTTTGAACTCTAACTAGACACATCGGAGAATCTGCCACAATATCTTATGATCCCATCCACACAATAGCAAATAATTAGACACAATTTCTGCTCTACTTAGAGTTTGACAGGACTTTTAAAACTAAGACATTGGTGCATGTTTTTGTACTTCTGTGGTGGACTTAGTTTCACATCCCACTGGGTGATCAGCTGTTTATCTTTTTTCTGTTCTGTTTCTGGCTTTTTTTTTCCAGGCTGTAGGGAGTAAAACTCTATGAATTGACTGGATTAACAAATTAAAGCTGCTTGCCATGTGGTCAGGTAAGCCCCAGAGTCCTTCTTTGTGCTTCAGAACACTGTAGAGTGAAGAGCAGGACTATCCCTTTCACTAACACCAAGACGTTTAATCAGCTTTGCTGTATATAAGCTAACCACATCTTTGGTGACCTGCAGATCAGTCTGATTAATTAGACATGAATCATCTTTGTGCTCAAATAGTCTGATTTGGAATATAGCTTTTAAGCTAACATTTGAGCGACAAAATATTTTAGGAATCACAATATTAACACTTGTGAGTATCATACAGCAGATGTATTAAAGTCCAATGACAGCATGCTGTTTTGGAGAGAGAGCTATTTTGCATACACAAGAAAAGCCATTGCCAATAAGTAAAAACAGATGCCCCCCTTCTGGACTGGAAAAGAGAGGAAAGAATTTAATAGCAAAAATAAAGTAGTTGTGAAGACTCTAATAATACTAATTACAGTAGGAGTTATATCCCGTAGTTCCTTTCATTAACAAGGAACTGTTAATGTCTCACAGAGTCTCACAAGTTGTCTCACAAAGTAATCTCAAGTCTTAGACTCCTCTCTTTAATATTTTTCCCAGAAGTCCTGTATTTGGGTCATACCTACTGGGAGCCATCTCTGCCTCAAGGTGAAGCTATTTGTGTAGCATCAATAGATCATCTTAAAAATGTTCCACATAACAGCACTGAATTTACAATATGCCTTGAAATCTCTATTTATTTGTTTTATTATTATTTGTTCTATGCAATTTCTTCAAAACTGTTTAGTGTTGCTCTGTCAAAAAGTGTGCAGGAAGGGGAAAGAATGTGCATTGCCTGGAGGACGCAAGAATGTAGAAAGTTACTATCCTCTGCCAGCTCCCACGGCCCCTCTCAACTGCTTTGTATTACCAGTGTCATCCTCAACAAGAGCAGCAGTTATAGATTCTTTTTACTGAACATATAAAGAACTTAGTTACTTTTTCACAAATATTAGTTGTTAAACCTGCTTGAGAAAAGTGATGTTGATTTAATGAAGTGAGTTTCAAACTCAGAAATAGTGTGTCTTACACCTCACTGAAATGGTATTCTTTTTTTTTTTTTTTTTAAGGATCATCCAGAAAGATACTATGATCTGGAAAGGAAAACATAGGCCCACATCATGAACTTATAACTCGTTTCATCAGGCAGATTTGGACCAGGTCAGGCTACATTACACTTGAATTATTAAGACAGTTGTTTGAAAAATTCTTGAGTGGTGTTTTGAGAGCCATCTGCTTTTCTATAAATGATCCTAATATCTGCTGCATAATAGTATCTTGTGGAATGTAACTTACGTGTAAATTATCAATGGTTTATTTTTCTTCGCTTTAGTAGAGCACAGGAGCATTTGATTTGCAACTTCATTTTGAACCTCAGAATAATCTGAGCTATAGAACTGGTCATCTTTTCAGAAGGTTCTTTAAGAGTGTCACTTTACATTTCAGAAGTGAAATTTGTAAGTTCCAGGGATGAAATCATGTCTGTATCAACTGCACCAGAGAAAGTATTCTTAATGTCGAGTGTTAATTTAAATGGCTGTTGTGTTGACGACTTCAGTATGTTTTCCCTGGAATTTAAAAATCCCATTCAGGTATAGCAATGGTGGGCATAGAGAAAATAGTGTTTGAAATAAATATACTTGCACAATTCAGTCAAAAGTCAATAAAAGAAACCCCAGTGTCACTATCATACTTAAAAAAAATAAAACAAAAAAAAAAGAGGCAAGAAAACGAATAAAATCAGCTGAAACAAAGACAGACCTGGAAAAAAAAAAGTGTGAAACCGATTAAGGTTCATTCATCTATTATAGTGCACACGTGATTTCCCTAGGTTACTAAAATAATGTTAGAAGCATTCAGCAGCTGTGATATAGTGTGAAAGTTTTGGAATTTGAGAGCTGTCAGTTTCATAAGGAATTCATTACAGTAAAGACTGTACCTGTCCCGCAGATGTGTAGTGGTGGAACCAGCTGCAGAAAACAAGTGTAGAATTAGTCAGCTGGTCCCTTTCTGAAATAATAAGGGGTCTAGTACAAGTTATAGATATGAATATAAAAATGCAAGAACGATGGGAAGTTGCAGCAGAGGAAATATTCCGTGTCAGTAAAAATAGAGAGCATTTAACTGAAGTCAATGGAATTATGTTGATAAAAGATTAAAGCATTGGACCCAGCTTGTCTATCCTGAAATTCACTTATTGTACCTGTGGATACCATGAAGGTACTTTCATTAATATCTGCCGTCTTCAGATCACAGTTGAATATGTGATTGTGCTTTCCATGATTGAAAAGGCTAAACAGCATCTTAAAAGCAAAACCTCAATTACTCTATGCATAAGCTTTCAAATGATGCTTCATCAGAAATAGGAGTGATATTCTAGTGATAACGTAGGTTCCGTGCCCTGGAGTGTGACTGTATGAAGCAAGTCAGAACCAGTTTTATGACTTCAGCATCAGCATTGACTTCCTGTTGAAATTTTTGGCATCACCCATGGTATGCATCTGTATTTTCTTTCATCACACCTAAATCAGATTTTGTCAATTCCTGTTTATCCACTAATCTTGATCAGGGAGAAAAGCCTGTAATAGAAAGCCTGCAGCTGTGCACCTGGCCTGCAGAAACAAGTGCAGAAGCCACAATAAGCAGTTCCATCTGCTAGAGACGAGAGTACAGATTGCTGTTAGACTATTCCACTAAAAACAGGTTGTGTATTCCCACGTGATGCATTTTGTTGGAAAATAAGTCTCATACGTAGTAATATGGTATGAAATGACAATTCCTTATACAATATTTTTCCTTTCTCTTTCTGTAGACAAAAAGGCAACTAACTTAATTATGTCAAGGAGAAATTTAACTATAAATAAGCCTGTAATTCTAATCTATCTGTAGCAACGACACTGGATAGAGTCAGTTATTACAACTTGCTAGGTATTACTGGTTAACTTTGTATTTAAAAAAAATTCTATTAGATTAAAAAAAATCAAGATATAAGTAAGCTGTGTAAATTATTTTCATTGTGGCAGTTTGTTATCAAAGGGTTCTTTTTTACTGGGGGAAGAGCAAATGCATTTTCAGAAATGTTACACTCGCTGCATATACACAGACAACTCTATGCATGCTCAGCATGGGCCATCACCTGGCTGGGAAGGAGGTGCCATATATGTTCTACCACAAGAATGAAATCTATGGCCCACCTATTTTTCTATACTGGGTACCACAGTTTTAGTGCAGTGACAGTTCTGCGTTATGGAAAAATAAGGGAAAAATGTAGGTAATGTTTTGATTCAAAATATTAAAATATTTATATAGTTCTTCTCTCACGCTTAGACCTATAACTATCTAAAACTCCCAAAATGAACCAAGCAAAAAAGACAATAAAAATCTAATAGACTAGATCGACTAATTCGGAATTCAAGAGCAATGTCCCAGTAACTGCATCTATAGATTTTGTCTTTCTGTTATAAGTGCCTTAGATGTAATTTGTACAACACAATTATGAAGTAAGATACAATCTTATTAAATTTCTCCTATAACTATCTAAAACTCCCAAAATGAACCAAGCAAAAAAGACAATAAAAATCTAATAGACTAGATCGACTAATTCGGAATTCAAGAGCAATGTCCCAGTAACTGCATCTATAGATTTTGTCTTTCTGTTATAAGTGCCTTAGATGTAATTTGTACAACACAATTATGAAGTAAGTGTTGAACTTTAACAATATTTTATTTAAAATCAGAAAGCAATTCGTTTACATAAAGTAATTCTTTCATCATCTATGTGTTCTAAATGTTATTGTCTATCCAGGGAAACAAGTACGAAGGAAGGTGTCTGAAGCTGCAGAATGAGCCAGTGGCAAACCTAGAAACTGAATTGGTTGTATCTTGTTACTGTGATGCCTCCTGCCTCTGGTTTTTTGCGTCTTAGGCTCCTTGGACTGGGACAAAAAGAACAAAAAGTAAGCATGGCATAGTTTGCATATTACAGGGAAACATAATTAGTGCTGCCCATCACCATGAAAAAACTCACAAAATTCTAAAGAAAAGAACAAGCATTGTGAACTCCTGGTTTGAGATCTTCTTGCTTTCCTACAGTTTGTAATGTATAGCACCTGTTCAAGAAATGTCTTCTATAAATAACTATTTTCTGTTTCAGACAAAATTTACATTGAAAATTATCTTGGTGCAGCTGTTCAGTTTTTCTACAATTGTGAATTGCCAAAAAAGGAGCAGTAGTTCCTTGGGGGCCTCAGAGTTAAATCCTTTTTATTTAACATGTTACTATGTAGTGGAGCTGTGCTTGAAGTCTATTATTGCTAGCTGTTCTAAGATTTGCAAACACTGAGAACTGAAAAGCCCTTTGTAGATGATCCTCACTCTTTTGCGATTTCTGTGGCTTTCCAGTTCTATAATTACTGACCCTGATGGCACACTGCCCCAAAAATGAATACTTTGATAATTTGCTGCTCTCTTGTAAGCCTTGTCATCTTCGATGCTCTAGTTCACCGCCACCTTCATGTGAAAACTACTGTGATAAGAGTAAGTAATATTTCTGCAATCCTTTGTGGCTGTGCTGGGCATTTTAATGTTGTGTTTTACATAGAATTTTAATCATAAACACTTAAAGAAATCTAGAACCTGGATAGAGTTTGTCAGAATAATATATGGGCTCAAAAATACTAAAGATTTTTGAGACACAGGACACAGAGTGTCCTGTACGAGTATGTGTGTTAACAAGAGGAAAATTTTAAAGCTCTCAAGCTTCACTTGAGCTGTCACTCAATAGAAACTGCTCCTTTGACAGAGAAGTTCTATGTGTTGAATGTGTTTACTGTTCATTGTTTATTGTTTACAATTTATGTAATGGATCTCTTACTTCATAAGGTACTGATTCCAGTGGAGTTCTTTGGATTTGCTTGGGCTTAGTAATTTTAATGCTCACTCTGTTCACCTTAATGGTCCTATTTAAACGGAAGCACCTGAAGCAACTAAAAGAAAAACTGCAAAACACAGGTGAATAAATAAGATTCTTTATCAAATAATTTTAGATCATTGTATATTTGTATTGTATATTTTAGCTTCTCTTACCATATAATTTGTATTCCAGATTCTAATAACTGTCTTTGTTGGATTGCTCTGTAGTCCTCAAATAGTCTCAATGAAGTTAAAGTTATTAGGGAATAAAATATCCAGATGATAACTTGTTAAAAGCATATTTATAATGTTAAAAGCAGCATTCTCTCTTTGTTGATTCTGGATCATGTCAGGATTGTTTTGTTGCCTATTCATAACTAGCTTACTTGCTGATGTTTGAGAAATCATTTATGAACCCTCAGTAGCAAAATATCTTTATAAGGGTTTCATCCTCTTCGCATTGAATGCAAAAGTAATTCTACCCAGGTAGAGGATACAGTCAATATTAGCTTTCCATCTTATAAGACATTAAATAATTTTACTTGATATTCTAGCCTGAGAGAAACGTATTTGGAATGTGGAAAAAAAAAAAAAATTACGTTTAAAAAATAGTAATATCTGTAGAGTGTTCAGCCAATAAATAGCAACTGATTAGAAAATGTGTGTTAGATTAATTAAATGATTATCCTGAAGTATAGGGAGTATGTTGTCATAGAACAGAAGATTATTATATATAGATACCTCTTTAAAATTTCACTACATCTTAAAACTTTCACTAAGGTTAGGAACATAATGAAATTTGGATCTTAAATTTGTATAAATTGTATGTCTGGTAAAGCATGATGTATGTACTAAATTAACTTGTGTATATTTACAGAATCTTCTGTGGAGCTGAATAATACCCTGGAGGCTAATACAGAAAGCAGTGTGAATACAGAAGGAATTAGACACTCCCTTCAAAGTGAAACAATAATGTATTCAGTGGAAGAATGCACTTGCAGTGACTGTGGCTTGGTAAAACCTCAGACTGGCTCTGAAACTTCATTTCCACTACCAGCTACAGAAGAAGGACCTACTGTTCTAGTTACCACAAAATCTTTTGATTATTGCAACTATATTCTGGGTGCCGGGTGACTATGAGAGAAGTATATTTTTACTGTATAAAAATAAATTCCAGTATAGTTATTGATTTTAATATTTGCAGTCAGTGGAAAAAGCTAGTACATCTTCCTTACAGATCTTCCATTGAGCTTTTGTTAATATTGTCATATTATTTCTAATTCTAGTATCTTTTTGGTCAAGTATTTCTACATTTTTCTCAGGTACTAGTTATTGGAATTTTTAATTTCTGAAAGTCGCTACATAGGATGGCTTTTTCTGCCTTTAGAGATTGTATATACTTACACTGGATATATACTAACCCATCAATAAGCAAGGTTGCAAATATATATTTTATGTTAAACCCAGATCTTGTGCCAAAAATTGCTTGATGGTACACAAGGAACGTTCCAAGAGGCAGAAAGGAAAACCTACATTATGACCCCAGTCTTCTGAAGAATAATTTCAAATAGCCCCTGAGAAGCTTGAAATAGCAATGTTCTAGTGATGAATACCTGTGTATAGAGTCCTCCCCAGCTCAGATATTATCTCTGGGTCACACTAAGGGAGGTTGTGGTGTCATGGAGCACTGTATCTGCAATCTCAATGTATTTCCTAATGGTGCAGATTTTTCCTTAAGTGCCAAGCATTTTTCAGACTGTATTCTATAAAGGTTTCTTTCTAATTTACAGATTTTTTTACTTACTCTTGTGTCATGGTTTTGGCTGGGATGGACTTTACTTTCTTGCTGGCAGCTGGTGCGGGGTTATGGTTCGGAATTTGGTTTGGGAATAGTGTCGATAGCGCACTGATGTTTTTGATTGTCACTAAGCCCTCGAGGCCTTTTCTGCTCCTCACACCACCCCGTCAGCAAGTGGGCTGGGGGTGCACAAGAAGTTGGGAGGGGACACAGCCAGGACAGGTGACCCCAACTGATCAAAGGAATTATTCCATACCATGAGATGTCATGCTCAGTATATAAAGCTGGAGGAAGAAAGGGGGGATGTCCTTCTTTGAAGTAAAATAGATGTTCAGAGTGATGCTGTTTGTCTTCCCAAGTAACCGTTATGTATGATGGAGTCCTGCTTACCTGGAGATGCTGAACATCTGCAGCTGAAGGGAAGCAGTGAATTCCTTGTTTTGGTTTGCTTGCGTGTGTGGCTTTTGCTTTACTGTATATATTATACCTATTATTTGAGTTTTTTCCCCGCTTTTATTCTTCTGATTCTCTCCCCCATCCCAGCTGGGGCCGGGGGGGAAAATGGCTGTGTGGTCCTAGCTGCTGGCTGGGGTTAAACCACCATACCCTTTTTATATGTACAAGGACTGCTGATTAGATATAGGCATACTGGCTGCCGTGTAACCTAAATTTCCTGGACAACTGCAACAACAGCAGAAGCAACAGCATTTTTATTTGTAGATAACTTTGTATTTCAGATTCTTGGATGAATGTGGAACTAAAATGTTTTAAGACTAGTAAATTACTGCACAAAATCTACCACTGACCAGTATTACAGCATCTTTAGGAGGGTGGCCATGAAGCCTGGGCCAGTTATGAGTTACCTGTGTAGGTCTGGCCACATGCAGCCACATTTCTGCAATAGGCCTCCAGATTTATTACATTTATTGTTATTATCGAGGAAGTATGGTGCAGTTCGTGGCAAGCACACAGCAAACACAAACCAGCAAGATGATGCCTTAAAACAGGTTTACAACATTTACGAAAATTACTTTGTTACTTTGCTTTTTTTTTTTATTTTTTTAATTAGAGGTGTCACAATTTCTGTACCGGTTTTTTGAAACATGACCCTTTGGGGACTTGCAGCTTAGGCAGCACGTGTACAGAACGCTTTATCTCCGTTTCCCTCATCTGTCATTCGCCCGGTTTTCCTTCACTTCCCCCTTAGAATTACTCCTCCGTGAAGCGAGAAGGTGGTCGCCACCGGCTTTCCCGGCGGGGTCCTTGCTGCGGGCCGGGGCCAGCGCCGCCGCCGTGAGGGAGCCCACAGCTTCCCGCCTTTTTCCCGGCGGGGGCCGCGCCCGTGAGGGGAGGCGGCGCAGCGAGACCTGGCCCGGGCCGCGGCCTCCGGAGCGCTCTCCGCCGCCGTCGCGGAGCGCTGTTTACCTTCCGGGGCGGCGGGGCGGCGTTCCGGGGCGGAGCGTATGCGCTGGCCGGCCCGGCTCTGGGCTGTGCGGGAGGAGGGAGCGGGTCCGGCGGACGGAGGGTGAGAGCCCCGCGGCCACCATGAGTGGTGAGTGGAGGGCTCGGGCGGGGCCCTCTCCGCTACCGGGGCGCGCTCGGCGGGGCCGCCGGGTGTCTGAGGCGCTGTCGGGGGCTGGCGCGGGCAGAGTTCGCCCGGGGGGTCCCTGTCGCCTGCTCGGTCAGGTGTGGCCTGTCCCCCGCGGGCCGAGGGCCCTTCCTCCCCTCATACTTCGCCGTGGGGCTGGGGGCGGTGGGCCTGGGGAAGCCCAGGAGACTTCGGCCTCTCTGGCCCCGCAGAGCCGGGTAGGGCTCAGCCCTGCACCACCACACCCCCCTCCTCATTTTGGCTCCCCAAAAGCGGTGTTTTACTTCATTTTAAACCCCAAAGCCTGCCCTTGAGTGTGACACTGGCCCACAGCACGAGTGGTGCTGATCTCGGGAACCTCCATTGCCTCAACCGTGTAAAACCACAGGAAATATTCCTGAGAAAATAAATGAACAAGAGAAAACAGTAATTAGAAAAAAAAAAATAGGTAAAATAACACGAACTTACTAATGTGCAGTTGGTGAGAGAGGTGAGGAGCGTGACTAGTGGAAAAAGCGGTTCCTTCCAGCATTTAGGGTTTATCGTCGCTGTTTCTCTAACTCGGTCCTGAGGAGGATGTGTTGGTTGGGGGTGTGTTCGTTTCTGGTCTCCATGTTACAGTGGACGTAAATCCTGAGGTTTTTGAGGTGTTTGTGAGGGGAAGTATTTAAAAGCTTTGCGTGAGAGCTGGGACCCATAAACTTTAGAACTGGAAGCGTAGCCACTTGAACAGGCCAGCAGGGAGAGTTATTTGTTGGAATGAAGGAATAAATTTGAATGGATTTTTCCTGTAACTTAGTATGTCTTAAAGCACATGGGCAAGGGTTGGTTGGTTTGTTTGTTTTTTAAGAAGGTGCTTTAGTAAATGCTTTCATGTGTCTGCTTATACAGCTTCAGTAATGGAAGTTGCAGACAACATTCTGCACCTGAAAATTAGATTGTGTGTTTTTCTCCCACCCTGATTTAATATGTGGTGAGATATGTTGCTGAAGATAGCAGGAAAAAAAACTGGAGAGTTAACTGGAGTAACTACATGATCCATGTTTTATGGATAGCAATGATTTCTGAAAATGAAACCAAAAATGAAAATGAAAGCACTTAAATTGTATTTTTCTCTGTTTTGTTCTTATTTTTGTGGTAAGAAGAAAACAAAAGATTTTATGGAAAAAGAGATAAGGAAAAGGAAAGATTATTGTGGGGAAAACTGTTAATTAGCATAGTGAAGAATGCAAGTAACAGATCTTTCAAACCATGGAAAAAGAAATTTTCTCCAATGTTTCAGATCTTGACACGGTACAGATTAATTCTGAAGTTTTTAAGAGTCAGTATTTTCATATGGAAAACTTGAGCATTTCAATGATGAATTCAATCTGGGGCTAGCCTTGTGGAAATATGTGCAAATTGGAGCCTAAATCTTCCTACGAGATTGATCTTTGGGAGCTCTGAATTCTATGACTCAAAAGGGCAAGGTGGCACCCCTTATGGCATAAAGCCTCATCATGTTATTTCTCATCAAGTAGTTATTTCTAATACCTTCAGTCATCTTTTTTTTTTTTTTTTTAAACAATGAAGAGATACGGATTTATGAGGAGAGAAGAACATTTAATTACTTAAGATAGAATAATGCCTAAGGTGACATTAAGGCTAGTAGTTCAATTGCGTGGGTAACCTACCCATGTGTAGCCTTTGCCAAGACCTATGTGACTCTTGCAACAACTTTGATGAGACAGTAAGATACAGTTTTGCGCTTCGCCAAACATTGCTGTTATACGGTACTGTGCAGTATATTTCCAGAATAATGTAAGTGGAACAGATCTGGACATTAGATCTGGAAACAATTCTTCTCAGAAGGAGTGGTCAGACACTGGAATAGGCTGCCCAGGGAGGTGGTTGAGTCACCATCCCTGAATGTGTTTAAGAGTCTTTTGGATGCGGTGTTGGGGGATATTGTGTAGGAGAGAACTTTGTAGAGTAGGGTTGATGGTTGGACTCGATGATCCCAAGGGTCTTTTCCAACCTGAATGATTCTATGATTCTATGATCAAGACAGAGAAATGTGTATCATTATTATGCTTGTTTCAGATAAAGGAGATCGGTAATGTTAACATCATCAGAGTTAACTATGTCCTTTTCTTAGTGACTGTAACAGCACTGTCTACACTTACTTTCCTGTCCAATTTAGCCCTTAAAAGTAAAAGGGCTGTTACTAAAATATAGGTAGAAGAACCTTTTTTCCCTATTGGCTATAATTATTTTTGACGTATATTTTTTTGGCTACCATGTATTTCTATTGGATGTGAAGTTAACTTCCTGTTGATTGAGCATTACTTTAATATTACTAATGCTACTTACTAATTACATGCTCATGTCTTATTGGACAGTGTTGAATAGGCTAAACTTCAGAGGCAAGTAACATGAAGATACTAGATTTATGTACTTGTCTAGAATTAGTGTTGTTGTCACTTGTTTAATGACAGTTTCAAAAACCATAAAAATGCAGTGAATTCAGGATAAGGCAGTAGAATCATAACAAAATAGTACAAGGCAGTATTTAAATTAGGCTTGTGTTGGTTTTATCTTAAACTTGTACCCTCAGAACCTGTACTAGAGCAAGTAAAAGGAATTGCAGTCTGAAATTTTGCTTACAAGACTTCAAGGAGTATGTAAGAGCAATCTGAGGTTTGTTTTTTTCTTAAGCTGGATGTCACGTGCTGTAGCTATAAAGAATTGGATGAAAATCCTGTTTTCCTGTGCTTGTATAGTCAGTTTTCTTCTGCTGTAGGTGTGGCTATTTCTGTCAGGGTACAGAGAGAAGTTTGTTTTAAAAATAGGAAAGCATGACCATGAAAAACAAAAAATGACAAGGGTCACAAGGGCAGGTGCAGTACCTGAGCCTATTTTTAACCCTTTTTGACTGAGTAGATGTTGATGGGAGGACTCTCTTTAAGTTTCTTAGTTTTTGCAGCCTTATACTTATGTTTTCCAATTATTTTTAGACTCGGGTGAACTTTCTTTTTTATTGCAATACTCTATATAGAGCCTTTCTTCTGAGTAATGTTGTTTTTATGCATTTTATGTTTTGTATTTGTATGTGTGTTACTGCAGTTTTTAGCACTATTCTGAATCAGTAGAAGGGTATTTTGGTTAGTTTGTAATACACTGTTAGTCTTTAAATCAACTAGAATTAATCACACTTGAATGGTGCTCTTACTGAAAATATGCTTTTTTTAAAGAACTAGTTTAGAGAATGAAGACTGTAAGAGAGCAAAATCTTATATAGAGTTGGTAGAGATTTATTTTTGCTTTCCATCTACTTGAAAACATTGCTAAATAGTACATGTTCTAAGCTTATCACAAAGAATAATATATCCTCTGCTTGAAAAAATGCACAATCTTTCAATTTTTACAAAATGTTAGAATTTGTGAATATTCATCTACCTGCAAAATTTTTATGTGAAGCACAGCAGTAGAAAAATTCTCAAGACATGCATTGAGCAGAAGCCTCGGCCAGCCCTCAGTATAGACATTGTGTTAATGGTGCAGGTGATCTGAACTGCTCTGGAAATTATTGGTAGTGATCGTGTGATCACCTGTAATTGTTATTAGTACAAATTTACAAGTAAAATAAAGACAAATACACTTTATACCGCACTCGGTGTAAATTTAGGGCTGTTTGACATCACATGCTTTAGTCTTTTAGCTGATAGTTATGAGCTGTAGGTTTTCTGCATTTATGCTGTTTTTTATATTGTTCACAGTCTGGAATCTAGTTACAATTTCTGTGTTATGAAATAGATACAAAGAAGCCAGAGATGTGAATTTTGAAACTAATATGTGTTGCATTTGGAAGACAAACTTAACCCACGTGTGTATTTGATAGGTGCTTTTCAGGTCGTGAAATCATTAATTACATGCATATGTTCTGAAGTAGCCTCAAACTGTTAGTGTAAAGAGAAATGTTGCATTGTGCCTGTTCTTGCAGGTATGTGGGTAGCATAAGATTGTAGAAGAACTGAGTTTTGAAACAGTAGAGAAAATCTGCAGGTTTGTATATATTCAGTGTCACTTGCATGAAGGGTTCTACTAGAGGTTGGGAGATAATTGTTTTCCTTATTTTACAGTTATGTGATTTATTATAAGGCATTTGGATGCATAGGCATGTGTCTCCGTTTTTGGCAATGCATGCGTGGTAAGAACACTGAATATAATTTAATAGAATTGTAATCTCTGAAGGACCTCAAAGCAGAGTAATAGGGATTATGTGAATTTAATCTTATCTTCAGAGTGGCATAACTGGCATAGTTGCTTGGAAGTTAACACCTACTTGGTATGGGCTTTGTTTCTGGAGTCCTTTACTAGCATTGAGTGTTGTTTACTACTTCACCTGAGTTTGCACGCACCAGAGTATTTGACTAACAGAACCAAACCTCATACATCACATGTCAGCACAGTTTGAGTCAGAGTTCAAAATAGGAAGTGTAACTTCTTGAAAATCCACTATAATCAGCTAAATAAGCATTGCAAACCTTAGTTAGCTAGCAGCTACATTTGCACGCTTTTCCTATTGTTTTCTTTATTCCACACTATTATAGATTTACTGTGGCGTTTTGTTCTCCTAATCCTGTATTTGAGATGAAACAAAGCAGAATAATTTCAGAAGAGTAAATTCTGTTCCTTCCTGCTGGTTTAAGAGCAAACTGCTTGGATTTGGATTATGAAGACAGGAAATTCTGGGACTGAGACCCCACAGTGTTGGGCAGCAAGAGGAAGAGACATATCTTTGGTGTCTTTGCTATTTACGAGAGGGTTTATTGTGTGATGTTTGATTTTCAGTATCTCAAGAAACTTGCTCATGCAGAGTTTTGATAACTGGCTTTCAGTCTATGCATATATTAGTTGTATATTCTTTTAGAGGAAGAGTAGAGAGACTTTAATTCCAGAGGGGTCACAGAGGTTTTTGAAGGATAATTTGAACTGAAGCTCAGAATAAGGAAATGATAGAGGTGATGTAGGTTAATTAAACAATAAATTATATACCTATTAATGGGAGTTTATAAAGCATATTCTGACAAGCAACGTGTTATGCTGTTTGTTATTGAAATGATTGAGAAGAGATTGCATAGTTGCTTGTATAGGAACAAACTAGATTTTGTAGGCGTTAATCAAGAAGAATTATGTTGGTAGTTAGATTTTAAGGGATTTACTGTAACAATTGCTTTCTGTTCATCTGACTTACAACACTTTATTCAGTAAAGTTGTTTGACAGTAAGAAGATATTCTTGCCGTCTCTTCCTAATTTTCCATTCTTTTCTTGTGCTATAATGATATACTACCCTGGTGGTTGTCCCAGTCTGAACATTTATGGAGTTGCAGTGTGAGTTCCGTCCTACACCTAAATCAACCAACCAACCAACAAAAAAAAAATTTAAAAAATCTTAAACTAGGTCAGTTCAAGGCTTTCAACATGGCCCCACAGGTGGTTGTGCTAAGAAGCTGGGCGCAAGCTGTGCTGATTGTGCACAATTATACTATATTTGCTATTGCTGCAATATACCTTATATCATGAAACCAAAATCTTACTAAAGTAAAACTCTAGATGATATTTTAAATAGTATTCCTGCATGTTAGAGAAAGGCTACTGGGAACCTCAAACCAGACTTATACTGCATCATTTTACTTAGAGAAAATATGTTAATAAATTTAATGGAATAATTGGCGTGGGAAGAAAGTTTTAAGGGTCCTGGTGTTGGCCCAAGTGTATTTTTCTTTAAAAAGCCATGTATTTTAAAATTACATGCATTTGTTGAATTTCAGGTTCACAAAACAATGACACTAAAAGACAGTTTCTTCTAGAGCGGCTGCTGGATGCAGTTAAACAGGTGAGAAATCTGATCCATATTTCTACAGTGTACTTACTCTGAGTTGTCAGTACTAGCAGGAACTGTCTTTGCCCTTTTCTCTCCTCTCTACTGGACAAAGAAATTTTGGCTTTCACTCAGTGCTACTGAGTTTTTGTGTCTGCCAGGAAACAACTATTGTGCAGTATTTGTTTAAAATTCTTAGTCTTGGCAGATAATATTTGCATTATTTTTATATATATTGTAAATATATATGATAATACAGAACTTACATTATAAACATATAGATTTGTAATACTGATGTGACTGAACTAAATTGTGGTGTACTGCAAAGGCTAAATTGGTCAACATTTTACAGTAGCAGCTCTTTCTTTACACTAGGATTTTAGTGAATGTTTAAAATACAGGTAAAGATGGGATTTATTTACGTATATGTGCCTTGCATCAATACGAAGTTCAGCAAGTAGAATTTCATAGACTGGATTCAATTTAGTAAAGCACTTTGTAGTTGCAGGCTGCGTTTGCCTATCCTTTATTTTGTACTGCTTCCTTTTTTTTGTAATGATTTTGTTTCTTATATAGAAATATTTCAGAATATTTAGTTTGTTAGTATAATAAAAAATTCTTAAAATCTGTTTATTGCAGTGTCAAATACGATTTGGAGGAAGAAAAGAAATTGCTTCAGACTCCGATAGCAGGTAAAATAGTCTAAGAAACTTCTAACATGCTTAGATTATGTATCATAATGACATAAAATGTATGGCACAAAATACTTGACACACTCAAAAAACCCCCAGTTCCTTTTGTTTATACAAACACTGACATGTTAAGTATTTGACACTTAACAAAGACTGTTCTCCAAAGTTACATGTGTTTAAGTGGCTGCAGAGTTTGTGACAAAGCATTGAATTCTGAGCTCTGAACACCAGATTGGGAGAACCTATCCTCCCTAAACCCACTTTTATAATGAATGCATGTTTATTGCCAATAGACCTGTGTTTTGTGAAGCCTGACACTTCAGTGTCAAGTCTATTTAGTGCATAGGAATGAAAATTTTCTTGATGACTATTTTTTCTTATTCCTGACATGTTTTTCTTTTTTTTTTCTGTATGAGAAGTTGTTCCATTTTATTAATGTAAGTCAAAAATGTAATTTAATTCCTATTAGTTGCATTTGTTGTTTAATATGGCATATTGGTTTCTAAGGCATGTGAGAAGATGACTGGCAGACAGAAATTGCAGTGCTTTCTGTATCCTATTGAGTCCTTCTCAGAATCTGTTCTACCAAAGAATCTCGGATAAATAAAACACCAGGATTAAATGCAGTTGTCAAACTTTTTCTCATGTCCTTGAATTTTGACTCTGCCTTTTGGGAAGAAGTAAATTATCTATTGACCATTTATAAACAATGCATAAAATTCTCTCCAGTCCCTTCCCACTGCAGTCTTTGAGAACATGTCTAATGATGTGGTTTCATGACTCCGGGAAAGCCAACATGACAATTCATTGCTACTGAAGGGGTAGGAGGAGTTTATGTTGCTCCTCAATGTCCCAGACTTAACTACTACTCCTTTCCACCACCTTTGTAAGCCATGCCTGGTGATCATCCACTCCCCTCTGAATCAATTTAATAAAAGAAGAAAGAATGCAAGAGGATAACTTTCTGCCATTTTAGTGAGTTAAATCAGTAAAACATCTGGTGAGTGCTAGAGTTGCTGCAAGCAGGGGAAGGTCACGCAGCTAGAAGCAATGGGAAGTGCAGAAAGGAAGGAAGAAGCAGCAAGGGATGCGAGGGCAAACCCATCCTCTTTCAGGAGTAGCTTGTAACGCAGGTCCGGGGTGTGTGAAACTCTAGAAGCAGCTTAAGCCTGAATGACTTTTGGTGACTATTGTCATCCTGTCTTGCCCTTGGCTGTTTCAGCCTACAGTATTTTGGGGAAAGACTTGGAGAAATAGCGTTCTGTTGAATGAGAGTAGTGGAAACAGTTAAGTACAGAGTCTGTTCAACACAGGGTTTGTTGAACAGAAGCTGGTGTGAGGGAGGAAGGAAGAAGATGTAGGTGGGATGAAGGGATGGTAGGGCTGAAGCACCTAGCAGTTGGACTGGCTGTGCAGCTGTAGCTGTTGGCACAGAGGCATCAACTAGAGCTAGTTTTTTAATCGTTACTGTTCGGTTTATGTGAGACAATGTATTGGTGATGTGTGCCTTTGTAATAGCTTGTGTAAACTCAGCTAGGAGGAATTACCTCCTATGCAGTGCAAATTTTCTCGGTCTAAAACTTCTGCTTTGTTGCTCAGTTTGCTCGAGCAATTGCTTTGCTGTAGTTGTTTAATAATTTGAATGATGTCAATTAGTATTTGTCTTCTGATAAACAGTGAGAGTTGGGATTCCCAAGATATAATGCTGGCTAAATTTTGCTTATGGATATCGTTTTAGAATTCAGTAGATCGCTGCACAGTTTTCTTGCTTTGATTCTTAATGCACATAGATTTTTAAGAATATGAGCTCTTTCACAGAACCTAATTTCTGTTCTGCTTTTTCTGAATTGAAGAAGTCAAGTAGCTTTTTTTTTATTTTCCCTGGGTGGTCATGTATGTGACGGAATTTCCATCTTTAATAACAGCAGTCTTTTTGGCAAAAATAAATCACAACTGCTTCACGATCATCTTGAGCATTGTTTCAGTTATATTCTGCTTTGTCAATAAAGTTTTCCTAACAAAGTAAAATTTCACTAGTGTAAATGCACTGGAAAGCATTATGTGTTAAAAGCTCTTCTGTCCAGGGCAATTGTGATAAATATTTTTTCTATTGGTGCTTCTCAGATTTTGTGTTTTTTGCGACCCTGAATAGAACTCCGTACTTCTAGAATGTTGGGGCAGAATCCTCAGCCACTTTGTCAACTGTTTTTATTTATTTGCTGAACTTAGTTAAGGTATCTGTCTTTCCTTTCAGTAAGCAGTTTTGGCAGCTGCATGACGTCTTTGTCAAAGCTTAAGTTTTAAGTACTGTTTATTTAATGGCAAAAATAGAGAAAATAAAGTTTCAAAGAAACAGATTGCATTCATGTCTCTTATATGTTAAGCTTACTATTCCTTGTAGGTTGCAATAGTATTCCTTTCTTGGGCAGGCTGTTTTAAAACTTTGCTGGTTTTACAATGTTTCTACCTGTGTGAAACTCGACTTATTAACTGGGTTATGTTTGGAAAAAAAAATAAATCAGGAAACCTATAAATAGTATTGCAGAGAACAACATCAAAAAAAGAAGATTCAACACATCTGCAGAAAAATATTTCTTATTTTCCTATGCCTAGGATTTCTGGAGCACACTAAAATGTGTGTTTAATTGTTTTCCTGGGCTTGAATTGTAGTGTGCTAATGCAAATTAACAGAATTGTCTATTAATTATATAGGAAGTTATAGCATATTTTTGGAAGATCATTCATTGCACCTGTAGTACAAAGTATATTTGCGAAAACATAATTGTATTACATGAAAAGTAGGTAATCTGAAGTGGAAATAACCTGACTAACCACCACTGGAGCAGGTGAGGATGATTTCTCAAATGATCGGCAGTTCTTCTGAATATAATCTGTGCCCCAGTTTTGGATACTCATGATGAGAGTGGTGGTCTAAATAGATTATACTGTTTGCAAAGAATGACATTAGTGCATAAAAGGAGTCTTTCAGTATGTATAAATGTTCACTGTTACATTCTCTATTCAGAGATTTGGAATAAACCTGCTCTATAGAAACACAGTTGATTGTTCTTTTCACATCTTTTCTTTAAAATTTCTGTTGCAGAGTCACTTGTTTGTGTGCTCAGTTTGAAGCTGTGTTACAGCATGGCCTGAGGAGGAGCCGGGGATTAGCGCTGACAGCAGCCGCGATCAAACAGGCAGCAGGTTTCTCCAGTAAAACTGAAACAGGTAATTCATTAATTGTAGCTCTTCTGTTTTAAACAGTTGAGAAGTGCAAGCAAGTGATATAATTTTTAATGGCAGTTTTAAGCAAAGCACCAAGCTGCAGACTGTTGGTAGTGTACTTCTGTCTAAATACTCTCATTAAGCAGTGAAAATGGTTATTGCTTTCTTAATCTAGTTTAACTTTCACAACAAGTTTCTCCAGAAATTTAGGTGTTTGGAAATCTGCACTTCCTACTGTTCCCCCATGAATAGCACCATTGGCAAATTTCTTTTGAATTCTGGTAGGGATAAACATTGTGTAGTTGTGCTTTTAAGTTTTTACTAAATTCTTAACCTTGTCTTACTCTGTTCTTCAACTGCCATATTCTATAGTGTTAGATAGTTACTTCTTTAAGTATTGATGTAATTTTAAAAACAAAACTTACGTTACTTATACTGGTTGGGTTGGTTTTTATTACTTTCTTCACATTTAAAGAAAAGATTCCTTTTTGCCTTCTCTTCACCTTGAAGTTTCCCTTGTTTTTTTTTCCCAAAAGTACATTAAAGTGTTCATCAGTTTGTGTGAAGTTTGACATAAAGTATCTTTTTTCTTAAACAGGGTACACAAAATATAAAGACATTTCTTTATGGTGTTTGAAACTCCATTAAGTGTAACATGTAACATATACCGGGGTTCTGGTTTTTAAAAAAATATATTTGGTGGTATTAGAATTGTTAATACATTTTGCTCTCCAACCATAACTTCCAGTTACACCAGACAACTGCATATAATGGATATTACATAAAATGTGTAGTTTGATACAATGAGGTTTTTAAGTTGCTGTAACAACAGACTTGTTTCCTGTGGTTAATAGGGTGAAATGTTTGGTCTTGTGTGCTGACTTTTCTGCTAATGGGCTAGAGCCTCCACATTTAGCTTTTTTGGGAGTTAAAATTATTAGTTGCTGTGGTTAGAAATGAAAATTATAGACTAGGACTACTGGAATATAAACTTTATTTCATGATATTCTCGATTCAAAGTGAAAGAACTAGTATTTCCAACTATAGCAAAGAATGTTTTGCTATGAGAGACTTGTGATAAATATGAAACTGTTCTTTAATTACTTGACAGAACAGACTCCGAAATGTACAATGGCTGCACAGTGTAAATTGTTTACTCTTTTTTTTTTTTTTTTTTTTTTTTTTTTTTAAAAAAAAAAAAAAAAAAAAAAAAAAAAAAAAAAAAAAAAAAAAAAAAGTTCTAGGAAAAATATTAAACCCTTTTGTTTCCTTCAGTGGGGCTTTGATTGTTCAGTTTTAGTCCATTTGTAGGACTCTTTTTTTTTTTTTTTTTTTTTTTTTTTTTTTGGCATGAGAAGGCACTAAACCCGGCTTCAGACTGATCTCTATGCTCTCAGCTTGAGACACAACCGCTGTTTGGTGCTGATTGGTGGTATTGCAGTTATCAGAACTGTGATATTGTTAAAACTAAAGAAACTGTTTTCAGAGAGTGATTAATATCTGGGTGAATTGTGTAATGTCAGTGTCTTCTCTGCCTACAGTACAATTGTACAAATTGTATTTTACTGAAATGAAAATGGTCTTACTTCTGAATAATAAGTATTGGATTATGAAAAATACTGTCAATAGTGAGGGCTTGGATTTTCACTTAATAACTACTCTCAAAAAAGAGAACTTAGCAATTTGAAAATGCCACTTACATTACTGTTTTTATAAAGTATGGGGAGATTTAGAATACTGAATACTCTTACTTTCTGTTGGATAGATTTTGATTAAAAACTAATGATAATCCAAATTTTGAAGCTTTTCAAAATCCTTGATATCTGTAAATAATCAGAATGCCAAGAAACACTTAGTTTTACTCTCAGCACAAGAGGAAATGTGTTTATTTTCTCTATTCCTGTAATATTTTCACTTCCTACTTCAGTATTGTTTTGAGCTTTAGCAAGGTGGGAAAGTGAATTATTGCCCAGAAGAAATAAATCAATAAATTGCTATCATCTTAATACAAGTCTGGCATTTTAAGTAGTCTTTTTTTTACGTATACATGTGTCTTATTTTTGAAATGCAGATCTAATAAGTTGAAGCCAAAGGAGTATCATATGATATTTGAGTGCTCTTATTTGTTCAGTGGACCTCCTTATTGTTTGCATGTTAATGGGCCTATGAAGTCCTAGTTCAGCAAAGTATATCTTTAGTTTTGCGTCCTGCGTTGTCAGTTCAGTGATTCCCGTGTTTTACACATTTGTCTAATTCAGAAGAGCTCTGGGTTATTCTTGCATAGCTGTCAGACCTATTTGGCAAAACTTCTAGTTAATGAGTCTTACTTGCTTGATACATGTTTAGGTTTTTAAAATTATGTTATGAGCTTCGCTAATCTAATGCTGTATTTGGCTTTCAGCAGAGATTAATAAAAAACTCCATACCCTAACTGAGCATGTTTCACCAAAAGAAGTCATAAGCTGTAGTGAAAACCTATTCAACATCTGACTGCATGCTCTTTATTTAGCAGAGAGAAAAAGAAGCATTATGGATGGTCTTTTCTTAAAATTCTTACTATATTAAAAAGATTTAGAAAAGTGATAAGTGAAGTTTGGCAGGATCAATCCGTTTTCTCTCTCGTGTGAATTTTTCTTCTGTGTCCTTAATGCAATTTTTTACCCATTTTTTAACATTTGCTTTATGCTGCCTACACTGAGATTATGACCAAAAGCCAGCTTAATATTTGAGGTGGTAGTGCACCATTCACTTGTACAATGAAATTATTTTTCCTTTTTTGTTAACTTAAAAAAAAATATAGAGCAAAGACATTCATTAAACTGTCAAAAGGAGTATGTTCATGTCTCCTTGAGAGATTTATGTGTTTTAATTTTTTTTTGTAATTCTTGGCTTTCTCAGATTTTTTTTTCCTGTTAAAAATATCCTAGGTTCAGTTTCTTAGTGGGTTACTGACTGTATAGATGAACAGCTTCCAAACTGTTCTAGTTATTCAAGCAATTCTATTTATAGCAAACCAGAGCCACGTGAACATTATTGTTAATGTTATATTTTAAGATACTTTCAAGCAGTATGTATTTGATGCAATATTAATGACTAACATTTGCCAAACTATGTTGTATAGTAATGATTCTAGTCTTAGAGATGAATTATCTGATGTTTGGTTGTTCTTTTCACTCTGAGAAAATGGTAAGAGGTGAATTGTAATAAATATGACCTTATAATATGTTCTTAATTCAGTTAAGAAACAGGAAATGTAAAATACTAGGTGTTTTATTGTATATTTACAACACTGATGTAGATTTTTGTTACCTCCAACTGAGAAATTTTAGGCAACTGCAAAAAAAACTTTTATTCAATATTTGGGGACAGGGCAAGGGAAGTGCTTTAGCGGAAACGGGTATTGTTGCCTTTAAAACGTAACACTTTTTGTTTTTTAAAGTAACATGCATTTGTCATTTGCATGTTTGCAAATTCTGGAGCTACCTGCTCCTTTGGGCCTAGCTTCTAACATATCACAATCAGCAGTAAGATAGAGTTCTAGAGAATTTTTTTCCTTTGCATGATATATTTCCAGAAGAACGTATGAACCTTTTCTATGGATAAAATACTGGCTTAAATGTGCTTTTAAATGTGAATTCTATTTAAAAATGTAAGATAGAATCCTTTAATGTGTGTGTTTGCTTTTTCAATGAAGTGAAAAGTTCTAAGAGCTTACATAGCCTAACTTCTGTATTTAGTTCTGTAGAAATAAATAACCTATTTAACTGGAGAGTTATACACAGATGGTAAATGATTCACCTTTGTTCAAAGTTATATACCATTACCTGCTTGTTTTTTAAAATTGCATGTGAATGCATTCCGAGCATGAGTTTCATGGTTTTTGGTGCAATTTTTTTTTTTTTTATTCCAGAGCCAGTGTTTTGGTACTATGTGAAAGAAGTTCTGAATAAACATGAACTACAGCGCTTTTACTCCCTGAAGACAATTACTACAGATATTGGTAGAGGCCGGGCTTGGTTGCGCTGTGCATTAAATGAACATTCCCTGGAAAGATATGTTCATATGCTGCTTGCAGATAAGAATCGACTCAGGTACTGTAATTGATATCTTTGTAATGCAGGAAATGTATTGACAAAAGAAGTATTGAGATTTAAAAAAAATAAAGCAACCAACCAACGAAAAACCAGAGCTGTAATATTAATTGCTATGCTAGTGAAGGCACTTAACCTCATGCTTTCATTTTGTTCATTGTTGAGATTTTGGCAGCTGTTAAGCTGGTGGCTTGTGCCTATATCAACATGTGACCTGAAACTGGCTTCATCCTAGCATGTGAGAATATATGCTTCTATCCTTATCTTCATTTCCATTCTCTTTCCTGGCTCTCTTCCATATTCTTACAACAGTTTTCCTCACTAAGACCTTGACGTCATGCTTTGAGGTGCCCCTCACCATTAAAATAGCACAAAGTGCCTTGATCTTATCAGTTCATCAGTGGTAGTTGCCTGTTGCCTTTTGGTGATGCTGGTCCTGTGATTGAAAAGCTCCAGTAGTCAAGCAATAGGTAGCTACTACTGCAGGTCACTTGGAAGTGGTTTTGTACCAGTTTGTGAACCTTCTTGTTACAGACTTACTGAGAATAATTTACTGTGCATTGTGAAATCTTGAAGTACAAAATGCACTTAAATTCGCACTTAAGTTCACACTTAATTGAGTCCTATGTTTTTCCTCATACATTTTCAGCTCCTTTTCTTTTTGAAAATTTGGGATATTTACCCTTCTTACCAATAACTGTTGAGCTTGAGCAAGTCCAGTGGATTCAGCAGAAAGGCATTCTTTTAATTTGCATCAATTAATGGATGGACTAGATAAGATTATTGCCAGAACTGAGCTCCTTAATACCTCCTTTTCATTTTTAGTCTGTTGCAGTCCTCTGTAATTTTCTTGCAAAACAGATTTTGATATGAAATCACATAAAGGCAAATGAAACAAAGGAAAAAAATTCTGAAAACAGTTGTAAGGGAATTAGCTATGTTGCTATTTACTCTCATACTTTTAGCAAAACTTGCACAGCGTCAGCGCTCTCTGCATTGTATGTGAAATATTATTTCTGAAAAGGCTTATTCCAGAATATTTAAGATTTAAATGTTATCCAAATTCAAATGGGATTTATAAAATCAGTTTACATCCCCAATTCTTATTAGTTTTGGAAACTTTTAAATTAATCTGTCAAAATTGTTTAATATAGGCTGAGGGCTTTCTTCTTAGCTGTTTTCTTGTTTAGTTAACTGAATGCTGATAGTAAAAATGCAACATCTTGCTACTGAAAAGAGCAACACAATTCCTATGTTCACACAGAAATTCATGTTAACATGTTTTTTTTTTTCTTACATCCAAATTCCTATTTGACTCAAGTATTCAGGGTAATGGATGTGGTTTTGGACATTTAAACAGGTCACCTAATTTTAGAACGTCAGAATGGTTTGGGTTAGAAGGGACCTTCAAAGATTGTCTAGTCCAGACCCCCTGCCATGGGCAGGGACATCTTTCACTAGATCAGGTTCCTTAAGATGAATTGGATCTTTTTATTTGTATTCATGCATTCTAATATTTTATAAAATGACTTGGTAATTATGATGATCAATAGTTATTTAAAAAACTTACATATGCAGTATTAAAATAAGTGTAGAGAAATATTGTAGCTACTAATGTAGTATGAACCTCCTTGCCTTGATTTTTTTTTTTTTTTAACCAGAAAAAAACCAAACAGAGCTTAAACTGAAGATAAAATACTATTTAGCATGACTTCGATACTTGATTAGAGAGTTCTATGTATTTCAGGGCTTCAGGGAATTACTGTGACATATAATTTGACCGATTGCAGTACTGATACTCATTTTTCAGAGTTTTCATGTTTTTTAAAGCAGAATATATGTTAATATAGGACTGCATATTCTTTTTTTCTTTCCTTTCTAATCGTAGTGTCTTCTATGAAGACTGGTCTTTTATGATGGATGAAGAACGTTCTAGTATGATCCCTACGATGGCAGCTGGTAAGACTTTCTCTTAAATGTTACTGTTCTTGGAAAACATTGATTTTGGGATGTTATATCTGTTTCTGGCTGTGAGGAGCTTCTCTAACGCACACTGTTTACGTGGAGAATGTGTGTCAGATGCATATTCAGGGTGACTAGTCAAGGTATTATGCCAATTTATGCTGTGAATTTATGAACTGTTAAAACACTGGATCTGGCATTCCTACAGTTCAAAAATCTTTCACATAAATTTTCTAACTCTTCAGCAGTCGAGGCTAATTTTTGTTTTTAAAACTTGCTCAATTTAGAGAAAACAAAATGGGTTATTCCTGCCTAGAAAAGAGCAATGATGGACTTTTATAGTAAGACCCAAGTTATAGGTAAATACATAGAAGGAGATTAACAGTAAAGAATGATAACAGATAATTTACTTTTCTACAGTTTGACCACAGAAGTGATGTGTTACTACCTTTTACACCCCTTTTTTTCTCAGCTACATGGTTACATATTTTGTTCTACCAGATAGGGTTCATAGGATTTTTTGTTACTAGAATACAGAAACCAACAAATATTGAAAGTTGCAGTGAAATGGGTTTAAATAGAAGGTTACAAATAAAGAAGTTCAGAGTACTTACTGCTTATTTAATGTGCGGCTGAACAGCCATCAATATAAATTCAGAACTGATTGCATCAGCTTGAATATCATCTAAAAAAGAGTGAATGATGCGTGAAACAATAAGAAGTCATACATGGAGAAGTGTGGAAATTTTTTGAAAAAATGTTTTACATGTTGTAGCTTTGTTAATCCTCAGATTCTATCTCTAACTTTTGTATGAAGCATACAGTGGGTTTTTGGTCTTTTTTCTGCTTTCTTTTATCTGAAGGTCTGAACTCCATTCTTTTTGCAATCAACATTGATAATAAGGATTTAAATGGGCAGAGTAAATGCACACCCACCGTGTCTGATTTGTTAAAGGAATCAACGCAAAATGTAACCTCACTATTGAAAGAATCCACTCAGGGTGTCAGCAGCCTTCTTAGAGAGATAACTGCATCATCTGCTGTCTCCATTCTAATAAAACCTGATCAAGACACTGACCCGCTTCCTGTTCTCTCAAAGAATGTAAATGCTGGTAAGCATTTTTGCAATTGGTCTTGTTCAAATGTCATTATATGTTGAATGTTAGAGCAAGTCAGATGTTTTCATTGAAGTCTATGTTCTTTGCTGGAATTCAATTTGCATCCAGAATGGGTTTTAATATCCTTTTACTCTTAAAAGTACATTAATATGTATTGTGGATGTATAACAGCTGGACTTGAATTAAGCAAAGCATTTTAGTCCCCATGAGAATTGCCTTGATGAGTAGATTTCTGATATTTCTTAGAGTGCTTGAGCTTTATAAGATTACTTAGCCTCATGTGCACATCAGAATCAGTTGGAATAGGTGATAATTTAAAAATAAGTGCTCATAGCATAGATGTGACATAATCAGAGAGGAATCCAGTGTATTTCTATACTAAGAGCTAATTAGCTGAGGGAGCAAGTTTAATTCCTTTTCCTGAAAACTGACTGCTCAATTTCCAGATTATAGACAACACTAACTAAAATGATAGTTAAAGGTTTAAAAGATCATGTATCTGGAAACATAATGAAATGCCTTGTAGATCCAAGTGGTTTTTTTTTCCTTTACTAAACTCATTTAGTAGTGGAGTTCTTTTAAGAAAAAAACAAGTGTATTACATTGTTTCTCTTTTCTGAATTATGTAAACCTTTATGTTGCTACTAGATTTGAAATATAAAAGAGATAGAAAAAAGAAGAAGAGAGTGACAAATATTATCTCATTTGATGAAGAGGAAGATGAGCAAAATTTGGGGGATGCCACGAAGTCTCCAATTACAGGAGAAAGTTCAGAAGAGAGTGTAGACAGATCTTCAGGTTTTGCATTGCCCTCGTCTGAAAGCTCACTTGGAAAAAATTTTAACGGGAATGAAAGTAACCATTCGTGGAAGAGCAATTCAGTATTGATGAATGGAGAATATGATTACCAGAAACTAGATGTGAAGAGCATTGATGATGAAGATGCAGATGAGGGTGACCTATATGGAAAAACGTTAGGAAGTAAAGGCACAGAAGGTGAAACTGAAGCTTCTGAAAAGTAAGTAATGTCGCAGGAGCCAGTGGTAAACTTTTTATGCTTTTTCACTCCCTGCCCCTTTCTTCATGGCAAATTTATGTAACTGAACTGTAGGTTTTCTCTCTCTCTTTTTTTCTTCTTTCTCTCTCTTCAGCCCCAACTCCCTGTTTCTTTTTTTTTTTTTTTTTAACCTGCATTGTTTCAACCATTTGAACCACTGTGATGATGATGATGGTATTTTGCTTCGAAGTTCCACTGAAAACCGGAATTTTGAGACTTCAGACTTGTTCTCCTTGAAGTTCTCAGTTGTTGAAATTGTTGCATGATACAGCCAGGCTATAACTTTGGCTTATTTGAAGTTTCCTTATTCTTACTGTGATATCAGCTCTATTTTGGCTTCATGGTAAAACCATGTATTTTAGATGGAGTAAGCCTGTTACCATCAGAGTAGATAGTTAAACAAGACAAGACTAAACTGAGAGAAGAACAGCAGTTTTAGATACTAATATGCCCTTCTTATTTCTGACACAGAAATCCCTTTGGAAAAAGGAGGCAAGCAATTATTGTCTCATCTGTTTTGGAATGGTCTGATCTTCAGTGTAATTATGTATGTCTGAACCAAGGAACTGGCAGGCAGAAATAAAGATTTTTCTTGCAGTGATATCCCTGAAAGAAGTATAAACATTGTGAACATGAGTACGGACTGTATAAATAGTTTGTTTTGTTTGTTTATTTTAAATCTAGGCCTCATGAAATAGGCACGTGCAATTCTCAGATATGCAGTTGGACTCCTCTGCAGGTCCTGAATGATGACTCAGATGTTCTATTTCCTGTCAGTGCTGTTGGTTCTTACTCCCAAACAGGTAGGTATTTTAATTTACTGAATTGCAGCAAACTTTATAGCAGAATTTCTAACATGGGACAATGGTAAGAAGTAGTGGGATTGTAAGGACGTAGGAGATACTGCACAGCTGGAATGGAGGTTCAATTAAAATTTATTCTAGCTCTGAATCAGAGTTCTCCATTTGAGTAGATACTTAGTGGAGAAGGACTTATCGATACCAAATAAACTAGAATTTGGTTGGAATTAAGCTGTGGTCTTGTATGCTATTTAATTAATGTTTAGGATAGTTGAATAGAAAGTATCCTTATTAGTTTTCTAGATATCACTAAGCTGGAAGAAGCTGCAAGTGTGTTTGAGAATTTGAATTCAAATTAATCTTGACAGATTGGAGAAAGTATCAAATATTGGATGCAGTTCAATAGAAACTGTTATCTGTTTATATACAGGATGAGAAATGATTTGCTAGGAAATACTTCTTCAGAAAAGGATGTGGGAATCATAGAATGGTTTGGGTTGAAAGGGATGTTCAAAGATCATCTAGTCCAACCCCCCCCTGCCGTGGGCAGGGACATCTTTCATTAGATCTGTTGCTCAAAGCCCTGACCAACCTGACTTTGAACACTGCCAGTGATGGGGTATCCACAGCTTCTCTGGGCAACCAGTTCCAGTGTTTCACGACCCTCATTATAAAAAAAAATTTCTTCCTTATATCCAATCTGAATCTCCCCTCTTTCACTTTAAACCATTGTCTTGTCCTGCCATTGCAGACCATGGTAAAAAGTCTCTTTTCATCCTTTTTATAAGCCTTCTTTGTATTGAAGGGCTGCAATAAGGTCTCCCCAGAGCCTTCTCTTCTCCAGGCTGAACAATGCAAACTCTCTCGGCCTTTCTTCACAGGGGAGGTGTTCCAGCCCTCTGATCATTTTTTGTGGCTCTCCTCTGGGCCTACTCCAACAAGTCCATATGTTTCTTGTACTGTGGACCCCAAAACTAGATACAGTACTCTGGGTGGGGTCTCACAGAAGTGAAATAGAGGGGGAGATTCACCTCCCTCAGCCTGCTTGCTAATTTTTCATCTGCCAATACCTTCAAGTCGTTTTCTGCAGGGGAGCCATTATAGTGTGTGACAAGCTGATAGTGAGTTAGCAGTGCCGTGCTTCTGCAGTAAAAGCACACGTTACGTGGATATGTATAAGTGAAAGTGTCATTTGTAAATTTATGCTCGGTTGGCTCTGATGTGGCCTCAGCTGCAGTATTGTATGCAGTTTGGGGTACTGCATTTCAAGAATGATGTGGACCATTTGGAGAAGATCTTGAAGCAAGCAATGCAAATGGTCAAAGGTATGAAAAAGAAGACCTGGTCCTTTTCCAGTATCTGTATTGGTACCAAAAACAAAGAAACTTCTACTACCCCGCAACCACAGCTACCTCCACACCCCCAGTTAATGTAGTAGCTGTTTATAAAACGGCTTTATAAAGCTTTGGGCGTTTATTCATATTTCAGTGACCACTGAAAACATCCTCAGTGGCATTTAAATAATGTTTTAATTGTAAAATACTTCATGTTTTTACGGACCATTATTTGACTAACTGCAGAAAAAATGTAATTCGGTTCTGTAAGTTTGGTGATAAAGTAATGTGAATCAAAAAATAATGCTGTACTGCCCTCTGCTGTATTTTAAGACATGTACCTCTTAAGAAATGCCAGTGGTTCAAAAAAATAGATACATTTAAATATTTTTCCTTCTTATGCTCCTGCATTTTACAGTTTATGAAGGAATGGATTTAGAACACATGTAGTTTGTGGCATTGTGTTCTCTTAAATTTTATACAGAAATTGTTAGAAAAAGTCCATAGATTTATAGGTGTTTGATGACTGCAACAGATCGAAACCCAGAGCTCGCAGCTGAGCTGTGAGAGTTAGTAACCAGTCAGATGTCACAGGGCATCAGGAGCTAGAGTAGAGGAAATCAAAAGTCAGGAGACTAAGCCACCAATTAGTACTGGAGACAGATGATGAGAGAGGACAGCAATAAGTGTAATGGGCTTACTTTTACTTAGGAGATACCAAAGACCCTTGTTTCATCTTGATTAATCTCAGAACTGTTTTGAAGACGATGCTCAGACTAGTAGAGTTGATCAACAACAGGCCTGTTCAGATCCCTTCTGGCACAGTGTATAGATATTTCCAGTTCTCCTCCTGCCCCTCTTTTCCTTTGTGGTAAATCTTATGGTCCAGCGTGCAAGCCAGGATGATGCGGCACTGGGCTGCTGAAAGGAATCTTCAGTTATTATAGGAAACAGCAACACAGATCCTGCTGTCTGATCTCATGGTTTCAACTTCCCCTGCTGTCACTGGGCCCTTCTGAGCATCCCTGAGCTGACAGAGTGTGCAGGATGTCCTCTCTGAAAGGCCTGTCCTGCAACCCAAATGTCAGCCAGTTAGGTAGAGTGACACACATGGGCATGGTCACCTTCTCCCCACCCGTAATGACCATTTGATGAGATTGAAGGCTGCGTTAGGCAGTTGTTTGCTTGACTTCTGAAGTTACACTTTTGTTAGATGAATCAGAGGGAATGTGTCTTAGCTTTTTCTGAGGGCAGTTCTACCCAGTAACTGGCAATCTCATTATTATTGTAACAACATTTTTTGCTAAAATGTGCTTAATGAACTCTTGTGATATACATCGTTTAACCCAATATTTTGGTTTATATGTTTTAATACAGATAAATAACAAGACATGTATATTTGAAAGAGATTACAGCATAATTTATAGTGTTGTATGTTAATAAGGTGTTTTCAGTTTTAGTCTGTTACACTGCTTCAGGGATGTGTCAGGGTGTATCAGATCTCCATGTACCTAGAGATGAGAAAGCCTGAGTCAAAATTCAGTAGCTTGGAACAAAAATGGAGTACACATTTTAGGAACTGAGCTTCAATAAATTCTACTGCTTAAAAAATTAGCTTTCTCCTCCGTAGTCATTCTGACAGAATTCTAATTCCCAGTAACTTTTTTCCCTAGAATTTCTGCTTTTTAAATTCTGTGCTATCTTAGCTCATGATTTTAGAGTTCTTTTATGGTAACTTTGTAACCTTTACATAGCGAAGTGCTGAAAGCATCAATAAAATGTGATTTTTGTTTCTTTCCACCTAAACTACCTTAATGACAGGCCCAGTAATGTGTATATTTTGTCCCTGGCAGTTGTGAATCTGTGGAGAGATGCGTATTATCCATCTTTAAAAAAAAAAAATCTCGTCTGGCTCCTGATGTTTGGTACATAGGTGTAAGGAGCCAGAGAAAAGCTGAGGTGCTCTGTTGGGAATACCTAAAAGACTGGTGTCTTTGCAAGGTTTCACGTACTGGGGACTAACCATAGATTCTTTTCCTGTGAGTCACAAACAGATTTTTTTAATGGCCATGTGGTTGTTAAACTCATGGTGCTTGCAAAAGTGACTTCAGTAAGAAGTCTCTTCCTAGCTTTGCAATGTTGTTATCAATGTAAAACGTACATCTAAATTATAATTTTGGAATTGTGCAATACTAATTTTTTTCTAAGGTGATGGATGTGTTCCTAAGGGGCTTTACAATCCTGTTGGCATTCAGGGTGAATATGCAGAAGCCAACCTTGGAGAAAGAATTTAAAGTGTTTAAAAGATTGAGTTAAGATGAGTATTTCCAGTTAAAAATATAACTACCTTCCTTCTGGTTTTGTTTTTATTTTATTTTTTAAGTACTGTTAAATTAAGAAAGCTAATGCTTGTGCATTCTACTTTAGATAACTTGGAGAATGGAGAACATGTTATTCATGCGGTAGAAGTGGTTCCAAGAAGATCTGATCTTCCTTACAGGTACGTGTCGAATATGTTTTTCTTAAAAGAAAAAAAATCTTCACTCTGTAGCTGCCAGTTTACTGTTGTTACCTAATGAATAATGCCTACTACTACTAATGCATAGTGCCTACTCAGTACTGGAAAACAAACTATTCATGGGGGTACTTTTGCAAATGTTTGGAAAGACAAATACAAAAGCTTTTGCTTCCCTTTTTGTTTAGTTTTGTTTAGTTTTGTTTAGTTAACTTTTGCTAATTATCTTGAAGAATTCATGTAGTTATGTCAAATAACAGGCAGGCTTAGCCTCCTGGCTTTGAAAATAGGGGTTTTGTTGGTTTTTATGTTATTTTTTTACTGTTTTCTCCATGGTCTCTTGATATGTATCTTTTTGTGTATATTCTTAAATCAGACTCACAAGAGATACATTAAAGGATAATTAAACATAAGTTGATTGAATATGGGTGAATATAATGACAATTCGAGCTTCTGGAATGCTTTTTTCTGAAGTTTTGAATTTAGGATTTTATTTTCATTTATTGATGATATTGTACTTTTATGCCTAGAGTGGAAGCCAGTCCTCCAGCTCAAGTTAATACTTTAAGCAATATGTTGCCTTCAGCCACTGTGCCAGAATCCATGACAATTAGTAAGTACTTCCTTGATGTATCTAGATTGATAGAATTAACTTTGAAAGTCCTATAGCTCTTCATGTCTGTTTTTATTTCTGTAAGATCTGTTTAGAGAGGCAGACAGCACCTGGTTTCTGATACACTGGCCGCATTGGAAATGACTGCTAGAAAATGGGTTTTGAATTGGCAGATCCCAGGTTATGGTTCATTGCAACTGGTATGACATTATCTTCTTTTTCCACAGAGAAGCTAATGTCATCTTTATACTAGATGTGGCTCGAGTAGTTCAATGAGCAATAATGATTTAATTTGACTAACATCTTTAAGTCTCTGAAAGCACTAATGGTCCTTTTTGATGTGATAACTTTTTTTGGCAGCTTTCATTAGTGGCTAGTTGTAAGAAAACCCGAACAAGCCTGGAACTCTTTCTTTGGACATTCAGTCTGTGGTTTTGGTATGGAGGTCTGCTCCATACATAAATATGAGCTTTCATAAGCAAAAACCTTAGTTAAGATTAAGGTGGAGGACAGTCATATTTTCAGTGGTGTTTAGAGTTGAGCTGGACAGGATCAAATAGCCTTTGCTGCAAAAAGAGATTAGTATGAGTACAGGCAGCTTGTTTATTCGATCTTTAATCTTTGTTTCTTCACATAAACTTGTAGAAAAAAAGACTTTTTTGAACTTACTAGCTGTCTAAATGCGTAAGGTGGTATGGTTTTATTTTCCTTACTGTACAGAAAGTTTTGTACTGAACTGGTGGTTATGGCTTTGTTCCTAAAGCTCTGGGATGTGTGTTTGTCGCTTTCTTTTTATAAACTTAAATATGTACTTATCTTAATGATGACATTTGGGAAGTTAGAGGTGATGCAGCCAAGATTGTTTTCTGAAGTTGATTTATGAAATCATCAAAATGAATGAACCCTTAAGATATTCTAATCTCATGTTCTAATACCATGTTCAAACAACATCTCTGCCAATGTATGTTAAAAGAAGCAGACCGTGCATTTTTGCTGGGTACTGTGTCAGGCTCTGGCATGGGTCTGCTGACCGAGCTTTACAAAACTGAAAAATCCTTTCCTGCAAATTACTTCATGAAGTAGGAAACTAGTTTTGAGACTTCTAAGTGACATAATTGAAGGTGTAGATGGAGGTACTGTTGATAGTTAGTGTGATTCTTCGGTCACAGGGTATTCTCTGCTCATGTTATTACTATATTATCCTTTCATTCTTACATTTTATTTTTTGTTAATGGAAATTTGATTGCACTGTATTGATTTTGTTTTGTAGGTATATTAGGTACCAGCAGGGGCCGCAATTGGTCTCCTTCAGTTGCTTGGTTAGTTCCTACGTGTAGTTAAGACAGCTATAAAATAGAAAGTAAATATTGAGATTTTCAATTCTTGATACTTAGCAATTTGTAAATGAAATGAACCACAGGATCAACAGAAGCATACATGCTATCATTAGTTTCCCATTTCAGAGAAGGTTTGGTGGAAGGAAGTGGGGGGAGCTTGTCAAAGCAATCTATAAAGCCAGTAGAACATTTAGTAAATAATCTAATTATCATTATAATAAAAATTCAGCTGACTATACATATAAGGTGATCCCAGATACATTCAATAAAAGTGTTTTCTTTAAGTTCGTTGTTATTGGTCGTAGATTTTCTGTACAGGAAGAATTCAGTGCTGTGACAAAGCCAGACGCTGAAGCTCTTTTTCTCTATTGCAATTAGCAGAAGAATTATTAAATGGTGAGGCTTGTAGCTTGGTTGCATAGCAACTGATTCTAACACATCAGACTAGAAAAATGGAATGCAGTAGTGCAGTGAGAAAAGCTGTGAGGTCTCCAGTAACTGGATTTTTTGTGCTTCTTACTTTTGAAGACAAAGCCTGAAATGATTTTATTTTTTTCTTTAAATCTACTCTTTTCCTGCTTCCTTTTCAATTTATTAGTATAGCACCGACCATTTATTGCTTCTTTTGATATGTGGGTTGGAAAATTATGTTATGAGAAGCTGTAATTTAAAATTTCTGCCAATTTGAATGGTTTTCCTGAATTTATGTCCCATGCATTTGTAAGGAATAGGTGAACTTAGCGGCAGATAGATCTCAAAAAAATAATACCACTCAAGAGAAATCCTAATCCATAGAGTTAGAGCTTCTCTGTGGATGCTAGACATAATTTGAAAACTTGCCCTCCCTTACAGATTGTTATGTCTTACAACAACTTTTATGAAGAACTAAGTTTGTCAGAAGTTTTATATTTATGTACCTATTCCATTACGTCATGTTCCAGTTTTTTAAAAATTTTATTTGTCTTGTCATATTTGAATCACAAACAACTTTATGTCTGCTCCAATTATTGTCATTGGAAGATTATATCTTCAGCATTGTTTTACACTGGAAAAATCTGTCCTGCCAGCACAAGTCTCTCTCATTTTTACAGTGGAAAAAAGGAAGTTCAAAAACTTCATTTTAGAAGGATGCTATTTGTGTCCTTCTTTATGAGGTTCTTTGATGATGCTATTTTTAGTAAATAATTGGGAACTTGTTTTTTTCACTATGATTTTCTTCAGTTTTTAAAGTTGGGCTTAACCACAAAGGTTAGCAAAGGTTGTAGTATTGTGCATTATTCCATATTCTTTCATATGTTTTTGAGAAAGCCCTTGCTTTTCATGATCACTGAAGAACTTCACTGAATAACCAAACCTACGTATTATATTTTTACCCTGGCTGTGTAAGTAAATAAGGTGCATGTTTTTGTACTTTCTCTGTCCTCTAAGTAGCTTCTGACCTGTTCTATGACTTGGTTGCCAGCAGTCACTGGCAGATACTAAATTCTTGTGACTTTTCTGAAAGCATAGCTGTGGACAGAGGGTGTTTAAATTTCATCAGTGAGAAAAAAAGCTGCAGTTCATCTTACAGACTATACAGTAAGAAGTTCAATATAGTAGAAGGCCAGTGCTCTGTTGTCTAATTTGTTTCCTACTAAAATTTCCCCTATTAATAGTTACATGACAGAATAATATTTACAAGGTTTTGAAGCACTAAATAAAACCTTAATAGCCAATGTTCATGCAGACAGCTTAGGGAGCATGTCTTTAAAGGTCAGACTCATGATTTAAGATGTAACTAGTCTGCTGGAAGTTTTATTTGTCTCTGAAAATATCTGTGTAAATTTGCACTCAGGAAAATAAAAAAAGAATTCCTGTAGACTGCTCCCAGCCCACCCTGATATTCTATCTGCAGGATTGCAGAGGAGTGCTGTACGACCTTGTGTACACTGAGAGATGATTTAACTTACAGCTCATTCTTCATAACAGGTGATTGCAAATCATACTTACCCAATCTTTGGCTAAACAGCAGAAGAGTTGTGAAACTTAGGACTTTTCTGGAGGTTGCTGGGAAATTGACAGGTGTTTCTTAAAGCATGGCGCTTTATATATTTCATCCTCTGAATGTGACCCTGTAAAAGCTTTCTAGAAGATAGATTTTGCTTTTGGTATGCAACTGAATTAAAAAATGTTTTAGAGCAAATATTTGCTTTATTAGTGCTAAAGTGCTACAAATTAATTTCAACAATAAAAAACAATTTTGTGTGTTTTAAAAACTGAGATTTAATAAAAAAAACCCTAGCACATAAAAAAAGAACTAGCACATTCCTTAATTTTTGTTATCTTTTTTTACTGATAAAGAAAGACCTGGTTTGGAATTACTGGTTTACACATGGGACTCCTTTTTTTTAAGAAGTTGTTGCAAGAATGTCTCAAGATTTCATAGTTTGAAAGGCTTCGCTAGTTATCACATTATATCTGCCTCAATGAAACTGATTATCACTTGAATTTTAGCTATGTTGGCGTTGAATGCTGATCTTTAATAACAGTAACATATCTCTTTCCATTAATGTTACCTTACAGAATGTAAATGACGTATCAAGCACAAAGTAGTTCAGAATTAGGACATAAACTTTAACATCAAACAGTTTTCTGAAGTGGGTATACTTGGCCAAGCTCTTACTGTTTTATTAAAAAAAAAAAAAAGAGAGAGAAAAGTGGGGGAGAAAGACTGAGGTTGTAAAGTCCGTAAGTCAGAAAATGCCAAATTTATGGTTGATGCTACAACTTTTTATTTATTTATTTATTCATTTTTCTAACCCATATAACTAATGAGACCTAAGTCTTCTGAAAAAATTAGATTGTGAATGTACACTGATCTCAGAGGCAGGCATAACACACAGACAAAAGCTTATAAACTGTGGATGTTCTGGCAGATTTGAAATGAACCTGCTGCAACTTCTTTGTAACTTTCTATACACTAGTGAATGACTCCTTATATTCACTGTGGAGGGAGAGGTTAGAGAATTGTTGATGATAAACTATGTAGTTCTTGTCTTTGTTTTGAGTACTTGATAGAAAACATGACTTCTTAATATACTTATCACTTCAAGGAGAAGTAACATAGGTAATAGCAATGAAGCAATATTGCTGCTGAGGTAAGTGCAGGCTGTACAAGCTTTCTTGGAACCCAGGGCTCTTAGCCCAGGCTAGTTGTTTGTGCTGATTCTTTCATCCACATCTCCACTGCTATCCGTAGTTGAACTAAATTAGCAAGAAATACTGAGTATGAAGTGTGTTTGCTTTTGTGGTCCTAAATTAAGCATTGCTTTTTGTCCTATATGTGGTAATGAAATTTGGAGCTTCTGCTTTGCTGTGTCTCTATGCTATTGTCAATTCTGTGAACTCTCACAAAAATGAGGCAAATGGAAATAAAAAGCATTTTAACATCTTTTATTTCAAGAGGCTTTTTTCTTCTCCTTTTATGCAAACCATGGTCTTTAAAAGAATCTTGCTTTTATGCTTTGTTTATTTATGTGTGTGTTGGAGAGGGAGTGACAAAAGATGGGATTTTAACCCTATACTCATGCAGAAGATTCTGAGTGGAATAAGGGAAAGAAGATTAAGTTATTAGGCAGGTTAAGGTTACAATTTGAATAGGCTGATAAAATTGGAAAAATGGAGACAATTTATAATAGCTTCACTGTTTAAATGTTAATAAATCAGTACACATTTAAACAGACTGAGTATGCATCCAGGCAATTATTGTAGAGTAGTCACCCCAGCGTAAGTGCAAACCAGCGCTACAATAACTTGTCTGAGTAGCAACAGCTTTAATTTATTCAGTCAGAGAAATAATAGCAACTAACTCAGATTGTGCATTATCATATTTTAATGCCACTTGAAATATTTAAAATGCCATTGGCTTGATGCTTTCTTGAGGAGTGTTCTGAATTCAACTTTATAGTTAAAGATCTTTATTTTTTTATAGAGTATTACTGTACTGAAAACTTACTATGGATGTTTGTTGGTTGTGTTGTGCACTTATACAAGGCTTGAACACTTACTAGTTTATTTTGTTTTCCTCATCCTTGCAACAATTTTTTCAGATAGGCTGATGGATTGTGGTCCATTTACACAACACTATGTATTACTTTTTTCAGGGCTGTTACAGCCCACCAATTTTCCACTGCCCAAAAGACCTCTTACCAACAAACCAGAAACTATCTCAAACAAAAAAACCTCAAAACTCCAACCTTTCCAATCTGCTTTTAAAATGGCAGTGTCCCATCATGACCAAAAGAATACTTATAGTGTGTTGAGTTTCATGATCACCAAGTTTGATATTTTATAGCTAAATGTAATACTTAAATCTCAGAATGTAGGGATTGGTGGGTTTTTTTGTTTGTCATCATTCTCGCTCCAAATAAATCCTAGTCAATAGAAGCCATTTATAGGCCATCTTTTGAAAAATAGTCATGAAAATAATGGAACATGGCATATTTTGTCATATATAGTCTTTCCATTGCAGGTTTCTCTACAATTGCTATATAAATTGCAATAGACTTGGGTTTGGTGGGGTTTTTTTGGTAGCTGTATAGAGAACTCATATAAAGATGCTAAGTTACTGTAGAAAAATAATTGTTCTTTCTGTGCTGAATTAATGGAGTGCAAAATCCCTCTAATGACCTACTGAAATGTTTCTTGCTAATGTCAATTAGTTCTCAAGCTGTAATGTGGAATGGGTAGGAAAATAATCACCTACTTTCTCCATGGCCAAAGAAGCAGAAATGTTTTAGAAAAAATCTAGCATGAAGAAATTGGATTGTCTGGGGATTTACCAGCAGATTGCCAATGCCAGACTGGAATTGTGGTGTCTGCACTGACTGATACATTTGATTGCCATAGGAAAAACTGTCACATTTTGTCCACTCTGTTTCAGTATGCAAACTTAACCTGCTCCACAGGACAACATGTTTTGTTTTTTTTTTGAACTTGCAAAAATTTCTGTAGCTATAGAAAATATTAAGAAAGATAGGGGTAAATCAGTGAACTGAATGTAAAGGGGAAAAGAGTTGTCCAAAGGCTTTGTTTACTTGAAGAAATTAAGTAATACCAGTTTGGTTAGTATGTTTTCAGTAAAAGCACGAAAAATTTGCTGACATCTGTTTTGAATACTTGCTGAACAGAAATGGCTGATTTATTATATATAAACATAGGAACATTTCATTTAACTATTAGGAGAAATGTTTTAATACAATTGTGTCCCTGCAGCAGCTCTCATAAAATTATTAACATACATGAAATTGTTAATGTAGTTTTTAAGAAAAAGTGGTTTCGGGGATGTATCCATCCTGATGTTTGCTAGAAGCCATTTAAATCTTTAAAGACGTGTTGTATTTCATGTATATATGCAAGATCTGGAAGTTAGGATGTTTCAGATCAGATGATTAAGTCCTAATATTTTTCTGTAAATTTATAGTAAATAGTACAGCTGTACAGCTATATGGTGAAACCTATATAATAGCTGAAGGACTCCAAGTGAAGTAGTGCTTTTAGCTGACACTTTCCTATATGATATTCAGCTACTCTGGTGTCACTGTTAACGTAACCCTAGAGAAGCTTTTAAAAATTATAAAATTATGTCATCTTCTTTCTTTTTTTAAAAATTTTTATTCTTGATGTAATGACAGAAAGTATTTTTAAGAGTATTTATAGGAAATTACAAGATTCAGAAATCCCGTCTTCTGTAAGACAGTCTTTAAAATTGAGGTTAAGAAGAAGAGCCATGAAAAAGCAATGACACTTTCTCTGCTCTGGTCTTAATGTAGTAGTTCTATTTCCTGTGTCAGAATTTATAGCAAGGAAAACAAAACCAAACAATTTGAAGAAGTTAAACAAGTTATTGTATCTCATTAATATGCATGTAGTGAAAAGGTGCATTGTCCCATACATCTGCGATTAAAACAAACCAGCTGCAGCCACAGAAAACTTGTAAACATTTGTATTAAAGCCAGATGCAGACTAATTTAATTTGAATTTAATTTTTGAAGGATTGCTCAAATTAGTGATGAGATAAAGAGCATTTTTATATGCTTTGCTGAATAGCAAATGATGTTAGCATCATCTTTAAGTGCCACTATCTACATGACTTTTAGATCTGAAATGAGCAAAAATACACACAGAAGTTAATCTCTTTTTGTCCCTTCTCTTTAGATGAACTTCGTCAAGCTATTGTGGCCATGATGAATAGAAAGGATGAACTGGAAGAACAGAATAGGTAGTTTTCTTTTCCTAGTGAAGAGGCACTATAATTTAAAAAAATCTGTTCTCTAATAGAAGATGTCTTTTGTGTAAAGCTATGTTTAATCTTTTTGTAATCTTTTTTGATTATGTATTGTCTTCCTCTGAAAAGTAAGCTTAATACTTCAATGTGCAACTGTTGATACTGAAGAGTAATGCTTGTAGATCAACTTTTTCCTTTGAATTCAAATAACATATAACTCTGTGTCTTGGGAGATTTTGCCTGTTGTGGTTTTTTCAAAACCAAAATTTATAGCCAAAATATTCTTAAGATCTCTTAAGATAGCTTTCCAAATGAATAAATGTTTGTCCTTATACAAATATTCAGAAAATTTCATTTTTTCCCCTTGTGGTGCAGAGGTGATGTAGGGTGGCTAACATTGTTATGCTGAAAGTGTCTTTATGTTAATTATGTTCATTATGTTCATCAAAATGATGATGTAAATGTAAAAATGATAAGTCACTTGTTTAAAATATTATCAAACCTACTTTTTAGTTGCTTAGTTTATTGGAACACATTATTAGATGAATGAAAATAGAAATGTATTCAAGATGCACTGTTGTTATGCTGTAGTAGGACTGTTTTGATAATTTACATTTTTCTATAGATACTTTAATTATTTTTTTAGATGTTGAGATTACTAACTGATCCTGTTTCCCGGCCTCTTATCTTCCCTACTCCCATAATTGCAAGTTATTGCCCCATTCAGCTTTGTGTTTTTTGGCAGAAGGACCAGGATGCTTTGGGTTTTACCCATTACGCATCATGCTGACCTTTGCTATCTCACCAGAGATTTACGCAAAGGTCTGTGGCCGTGCTCTCAATAGGGACAAGGCCCCTACCTGTCTCCTCTCTTGCCAGTAGATAGCTTGTAGCAATATGATTATAGATTATTTCTGAGATGTAGAGGTTTGCACTGGAGAATTGAGACCAGATTATAATCTGTTTTCTACCTGGTGGTACAGTAGATACCATAATAGGTTATGCTTTGGGCATGTTGATGAGATTGCAATACAAGCTAATAGTAACCACTTAAAACTGTTTTCATTTGGTCCTTTTTCCTTCTAGCTTTTTGTATCTTTGTATAATCAAATCAGGTACATTTATTACATTGAATAATGAAATTTTAGTATGACATTAGTAGTATCATTTAGGCAACCTGCTCTGTGATCATAGAGTATCCTCTAATGTAGTGTTTGCAGTGTTCTAACAGAGGCTGCTGCCTTCCAGATCTCTGAGAAATCTGCTTGATGGAGAGATGGAGCATTCTGCAGCGCTGAGGCAGGAAATGGACAACTGGAGAAGAAAAGTAGCAGAACAGGAAGAGCGACATGCCACCAAAGTCCAAGCCTTGGCACGGTAAGGAGCACTGAAAGTGTGATAGAATGTAACAGCAGTGGAACGAGGCAATAAAAAATTCTGCGCACAAGAAAAAATCATTTTCAAGTTGTTTAGTTTTCAGAAAAATGTTAAGTCATTTAGGACTAAAAATCTCATGAACTTTAGTTGAATTTAAACTGAAGAAAACATTTTGAAGATTTTCTGACAAATTTTGTGGGCTTGTAGTTTTTGCTTTATTGTTAACAGTAAATCAGAGTTTATAATAATAGTAAAACCATCGCTACAGCTCCAGGGGAAAGACTATTAGTGAGCTGGATTTATGAGAGCATCAAGTTTAATTTTCAAAAGTTAAGTAGACTAATATTAAGAAATGTAAGCCATGAAAATGGCGGGAGTTAGATAATGAGACTAGATAGAAAGGAATGCATGTATGTGTAAGGGTGTAAGGTAAATGTAGGAAGACTCTTCTCTCTTCTTATATCTGTTTTGTCCAGTTCTAGCCCCCTCCCCCCCCCCC